GAGAGAGCGAGTTAGCGCTCTCTTCGAGGTATTCGCTTTTATTTCTTTACAGCCGACGTCGAAGCGCTTCTACGTTGGAGAGGAATGAAGTGGGCATATAACTGCCACTAAAAGGTACCTGTAGTAATTTTCAGCCCTCTCATGCCCTATATCCGGCCTATGCCGTTCAATGCCTCAGAGTATCTTTTCCTTACCACTCCCTCTCCCACATAGCTTAAGCAGCTGATCCAGCAGCTTGCGCTTGTAGCCATTACAGCGGGTTAACATTTAACATTTAACATTCAGTTTGCCTTTTACATTTTTTTTCTATGCTCGCTCATCGTTTACAGTACACATAACATAACATAACATAACATCACGTTACATTTACATTTAAGTTTTAGATATACTTTAGCGTCGTCTTTATAATGTTTAGTGGGGTCCCTAATGTTAGGTTTTTATGTTAATTAAATTAATAATGATTATGATGTGTTAGTGTTTTCAATGGGGAGCCATGCGTCGATTAATGTTGCTGTGTAGGTAGATCGTAGTGGCGTAAGGGATCATCAAAATTTTGGAAGTGGATAGGATGATCATGGTCGGGAGGGCGAAGCGCAAGCAGAACATCCGCTGCGAAGATGTGCGCCACTGTGAACTTGTCCGTCTTTGAGATGTGTGGTAGTGTACTATGTTTTGTGGATAGGGTCTTGTAGCACGTGAACAATAATTGTAGCTTTAATGTCAGCGAGCAAGGTATCGGCTCGAATTTTTATACCCCAACCCTTCTCTACCGAATTTGGAAGCCGGAACCAGCACGTGCTTGGGTCGGGCCAACCCTCCTCTAGCTCGTTCGCATAAGGGGAAAAAAAAAAAGAGAAGAAGAAGAGAGCGGGTGTATTTAGTTTTATATTTAGTTGAGGTTGAAAGAGCCACCTAGCGTCTTTTTTTTGCCTTTGCGAGCCCCTAGCGTCTTATTGTTGCTCCTCCCCCTTTTTTTTGCGGGGGGGAAACCCCCCCCCCCCCCCCCCATTTGGAAGCCGGAACCAGCACGTGGCGCTTTCGATTCAAGTTGGGAAAATTTTATTTACCTCCCATATTCGTTGGGTTTGGAGGGTTGATGCCATTTCAGTCTTGTCTTCTTCCTGACAGATCTGTTCCCCTATCCGGAAATCTATCCTGTTTTATGTTCGACTTGGCCTTTTTTAACATTTTTTGTTTTGCTAGAATATGCTTAAATTTTATCCAATATTAACAATGTGGCATCGCAATAATACATTCTCGAATGGCATATTGCATAAAGCCTAGTAATCAAATCCAAAAACTTTTTGCTAGCAAAAATCTGTCATATATTCTTCTAGCGGCCCAATATTTTATTGGCAAAGGAAATGGCAGCAAATGGCGAGCCTCCCTTGCCACTGCTGGCACCATCGTGAAGAAAACATGTTTTCAAAACAATATTTGTTTTATATTCATAAAAATTAATAATAATAATAAATTACAATATTCGTTTAATTGTCCTTCATATATCTGCCTTATCTTCATTATTTAAATATTTCATTTGGTTTTGTTTGTTCTAACCTGAACGCTGCAGCTATGCATGGAGGAGATCATGTGACTTATTTGAGCACATATGTCATCCGCTGGTGTTGGAATTCGGATTTCTTTGATGGGAACATGGACAAGGACATACATACATAAAGAAACCTTTGTCAAATATTCAACTCGGTATAAAAGATAAAATATGGCTTTTGATTTTACCAGTTGAACGACCCTAACCTTAAATCGGGAATTTCTCGGAACTGGCATTATAAACATTATAAAACGTAAAACGGGCTTAAAAACAGCACTTACAGAGGCGTGGGGGAAAATTACGCCATAGATCGCAGTAAAATTCGTCGAATCGATGAAAAAATTGCTGAAAATTGCTACAAACAATAAGAGGAACTTAGAATATATAAAATTATATTTTAAAATTAAAATAGAAACGAAAAGAAGTTGTTTAATTGGACAAAGGGCACTAATACCTTTGCGAAAAAGTTGTGCCGAGGACTAATAGACATCAATAAGAATAAATACGGACAAAAAAAAAAAAATTTATTTTTAGCTGTAATATTCAAATATTTCTTAAAGAACCTAACAACTGTACGAATAATTGATGTGCGTAAAAAAATTACTTTTGGCTTCAGTTAATTTGTATAAGGATAGCATAGTGGAAAATTAAAAGATTTTTTTTGTGAACTGATAGTAGAAATGTTGATCTTCGATACTTTTCTTGTTTAACTTAAACGTACGCCAAGTTATAGGTGTTCAAGCTAGAGTGATGAAGGTGTACGAATAATATGCGTGCTTATTCACAAACGCACCTCAATGCCAACGCTGGAAAAAGAGGATGGACATGTAGAACAGGTCAAGGATGAGGCATTTGTGCTACACCCACCGCAATCCCAAACGCATGAGGTCCAGCTTTTCCATATTGTAGATGAAGTCCTCATTCAGTATGAGTGTCATTGAGAACTCATCAATGTCCTGCTGCGTTAGCCACTGCTCCAACTGCTCGTCTACCTCGTGCAGACCAAAGTTGTGCTTGTTTAGCTGCCGCCTGGCATTCCCAGACACTGCTGGCCGTGCGCTGCCTGCTCCTGCTCCTGCTCCGCCTACTGCCGCTGCACTGGGACTCATTCTATGGCACTTTTTGTTGAATCCATTGATGGTGAGTCTACGGAAGGAGATTCTTTGGTTATAAATACATTTTAACGAAGTCTGAAACTCCCCACCTTAATCTCTTCCGGCCACCCATGTAAATGTGGGCCAGCTCCTGGTTTATGGTGTGCAATGCCCGCATGCTCTGGCGCTGCTGCTCCATCATCTGGCGCTGCTGCTCCATCATCTGGCGCTGCAGCTTGTGCTGGTTCTCACGGATGTCGCGCAGTATGCGCACATACTCCACAGAGCTGTGGAGTGCACCATCGTAGCCAGGGTCCGAGGGCAGTACGCCGCCAGAGCTGCTGGTGGGCAGGACTTTCTCCAAGCACTGTTGCTTCTCCTGACTGTCCGAGGAGCCGGCATGCTGCAGCGGTGAGGTCTGCACGCTCTCATCATCCTTCCCAGAGAGATCCTTATCCGCCAGATTGGCCCCCAGCTCCGGGGAGAAGATGGTGACGGCTGCCTGCACGGCGCGCTTCACGAGATTATCCAAGGCGAACATCCAATGCGGCTTGATGCAGTGGTACCTCAGCACACAGACGACTGCATCCTGAAAGGAGTACAGCGCCAAATGGAGGTGATCCGAGGCCAAGTGCTTCTCGTTCTCGTTCATAATGTAGTCCCTCAATCCGCGTATCAGCAGATCGCTCTTCCGAATGGCAATTGAATTCTGATCCGCATCGATTTTCTTGGACTCGTCCAATGCGAGCACTTTCGATAGAGTGGTGCGTCGCTGCGAGTCCTTTTTCAGCCTATAAGGCCATCCGTTTCGCTCGTCTCACTGATGCTAGTGCGCAGCGAGAGAGCAGAAATCCGGAAGAGTAAGCTCCAGCAGGCTGGGCAGCTCATCAATATCCACAGAAGATGTGTGAGTAACGCTAAAAGGGAGCATTACGCATCAGTTTGGCTGTGAATGGGAATTAGGGGTAGGGGACGGGGACTTACTCCAGTTCTGGTGTGGTGGGCGTATTGCAGGTAGTATTGTAGGTCAATGGAGGCGTCGTCTTGTGTATCAGGCGATCCGCTGGCACCGAAATGCTCCTCCCAAAGTCCGTATTAATGGGTAAAGCAGGTCTCGGTTTGCGTGGTTTGCTGTAGGAATCAAATAAAAATAATAAATCAAGGGAAAACTTCAGAGTTTATCCAAATAACTCACTCAGCCAGAAAGGGATCCTCCAGCAGCTGCGAGGCCGATGGTCTGTCCAACACGCTTATGGCAAAGCAACGCTGAATAAAGTTCTTGGCATTGGTGGACAGCTCTACGGGTATATTCGGATGCTTCTTGTAGTACCCGACCTTGAACATGGCCGCCTGGGCGCAGCCCAACTCAATGAAGGGCGGCTTGCCGGTGGCCATTTCCACGTTTGTGTAGCCAAACGACCAGATATCTGCCGCCATGCCATAGCCACGCACACCCTGATCAATCACCTCGGGCGCCATGTATTGGAGGGTGCCAGTGAATGTTTCCGTCATGGGATTGATGCGCGCCAGCCGCTTGGAGGTGCCAAAATCGGAGATCTTGACGACCCCACCAGCACATTGTCGCCCTTGATGTCGCAATGGACAATGTCCTGCTCACAACGTCCCGTCTCGTTTTGTATCAATATTTGCCACTTAACCACTATTTTTAAGCAAACTATCAACTCTATACCAAATGAGGATAAACATGTATTAACATTTTCGAAATCCCAAAAGACCATACGCACAAGTGCCGCGATGCTTGGCTAAAAAGCAAAGAATTCAAGACTTGGATTCGCAAAGATGACACAGCTGGCAGCTATTTCTCTCGAAATGTTATCATTGCCGGGGTCAAACGCAGAATGTTATAAATGGGTTAATCTGGTTAAGTCTAAATTAAGGAATTCAGTGAACCTATTAAGTATCTCACTTTACTAGACAAATTAGTAAATTACGTTTTTTTTAAGGTTTATTTCTTAAATTTTTCAGTGGCAGCCTGGGACCAGGGTTCCGTTGTGACATGAATCCAGGACGGATACTGGCGCTCGTACTTTTGCCTTTTTTCGAGAGAGACTTTGGCATCGATCGTGGAGTGGATGTTATGTTCTCTCCTCTCTTAGTTTGACGGCCCCTTCTAGTCACTCCTTCTGTTATTCGTTTTGGTATTAACTCCGTTAGCTTTACAGACTCTGCTGCTCTCCGTGGCTTCCCACCAAATACCCCATTTATTATTTTAATAAAAATTATACAATGTATCCAAAGCAATACAAAACCTTGGAGGATGAAATATTAAAGATCTATGTATCTAAAATAATAATTTATACCCGGCATTCGAAGAATTAGGTTAGGCGATGTATTGTTTTTAATTGTTATTGTTCTATTTGGAAATATTTCGAAATATTCCGTTATTGTTGAATTAAGTTTTTAAATTATTTTAAACACCCTAGAGATGAAACTTAAATCATATCAAACAATAAGTTCGATAAGTTAGATGATATGTTTGTTGAATGGAGCGGATCAAAATTTGCGACCAATAGTCGCGATGGTCTTGAAAAATAGACAAAAAATTGATCAAAAGTTTCGCCCCTTCTTGCTTTAATAACATCAAAATACTGAAGAATAATAACAATAATGAATAAATATGCGAGTAAAGTGATCAATATCTGTAAATAGAAATTATTTTTTATTAATAGTAATTATAGTCGATGCCATAATATAATGTATATACCTGTAGTAGTTAGCTTTGAAAGGCCCGGCCTTGTTTAATCCCATGAACTTGGCTTGCTCATCTGTCAGCTCCGTCAGGTGTGCTTCAAAAGTGGGCAGGTGCAGACTGGCTACGTATTCATCTGGTAAAAAATTCAAATTTAGGTTAGACAAGCATGTCTGAATGCAGGAAACACGCTAACTTACCCATTTTCTTTGGCAGCAAGTAAACGTCCGACTTGTATCTTCCAGGTGAAGAGTAAAGTTCTATCAGCGCAAGAGCCTGGGTGGAGGAAGCCACGGACACAACAAACGACGAAATGGTTGAGCAGGAGAGGTTTACAAGTCGACCCTCGGCCAGCAGGATAATCATTCTTTTGTCTGGCCAAATTATGTGGTCTACTTGGGAGCGCACTCGTTCCCAAATCAGTTCAGGCGTGTGTAAACTGTTCTGGAACCAAAAGAAATGATTTTGAATTGTCAATGGGAAATGCTTGTCGAACGTCATTCACCTACAACATCTATCTCGGAACTGGAATGGCCCATGTTGCAAAGAATGCAACCGTTCTTCATGCGATTCATGTTATCACGAGTAATAACGTTCTTATTGCCCGTGGCCGTGATGACCACATCTACGTCCCGAATGACTTCGCTGAGGCGCACCACCCTAAACCCGTCCATAGCCGCCTGAAGAGCGCATATCGGATCAACCTCGGTGACATAGACGATGCATCCTTGGCCTTTCAGTGATTGTGCACAGCCCTTGCCAACATCCCCGTAGCCGCAGATAACGACCTGCTTGCCTCCAAACATTATATCCGTGGTGCGCTTTAGACTGGTAGTACCATAACCATAAATAAGGAAATCCATCGATTGCAAGCTACACCCACCTGTCGAGAATGGAATCGCGGCAAGTGTAGAAGGTGTCAAACTTGTTCTTCGTAACCGAGTCGTTCACGTTGATTGCCGGGACGGTCAGTTTTCCGGCCTTTGATAGCATGTACAGCCGATGTACACCTGTCACGCTTTCCTCCACAATGCCCTTGATTGACTTGAAATATTCCGGATACTTCTTCAGCATCAAGTGTGTGGCATCGCCGCCGTCATCCAGGATCATATTCGGCTGCCAGCCCTCCTTGTGGATACACTTGTCCAGGCACCACCAGAAGTCTTCCTCGGTCTCGCCGTGCCAGGCGAAGATCGGCACTCCTGCCTCAGCCAACGCCGCAGCCACCGCGTTCTGGGTCGAGTAAATATTGCAGGCCGCCCAGCGGACGCTGGCCCCCAGCGCCACCAGGGTCTCAATGAGCACCGCCGTCTGGGCATTCACGTGTGTGCAGCCAACTATATTGGCATTCTTCAGTGGCTTCTCCTCGGCGGCACGCTTGCGCAGGGCCATAATGCCGGGCATTTCCGACTCTGCAATATCGATCTCCCTGCGTCCAAACGCACTCTTGCTAATATTCTTTATACAAAAATCGGTACTGCCGCTGGAGTTGCGCAGCCTGTTATCCTTTGGGGAAACTTCGTCCTCATCTGAACTGCCCGTGAAACAAGCTGATGGAAAATGTAATCAGAGATCATTTAGGTTAGGGGTGGACTTAAAAGAAACAACTTACTGGAGCTAAACGAGCAAGTGGACACATCGGAAAAACGTCGAGCTATAATGCTCGACTTCTTAACTGCAGTCTGTAAAAAAATGTGAAAATAATTACAGACAATGTATTTGAAGAAGTGAATTAATCAGAAGCTCAGATAGCTATCGTACACACAGTAGCGGACAAAATGAAATGTGGACATTCTAAAATAATTGAATTTTTTTGGTTTTATACAATTGTTGTATTTTTCTCAAAAGGCTTATTAAAAGCTTATTTAACCAAGCTAACAATATAAAAGAAAAGAAATATGTAAAAAGTTTAAACCCAAATGTCTTTGTTTTCAAAAGATTCCTTAAATAAAAAAATAGTGACTTTTGTATTCATTCTTATGTTTGTACAGAAAAATTCACTCTAATTTGTTGACGTAATAAAATTGATCTTGAAGAGTATATAATAAATAGGTGGAGTGATACTTTTTCCAACATCCTGTGTGTTTAAAAACTAATCTTCTACGGGAAAGCTTGGTATCTACTAGATTTCAGAAATTATACCATATTTTTATATTTTTTTAATAATAATATTTTCCGATCAAGTTTTCAGTCCCTGCTTTCATATAAAAACATTGATAATGTGCTAAAGATTATTGATCGGATTCATATCAGTACTATTTCCCGGCCAGTCCCACGTACTAATTCGCACCATTGCTAAATATTATTTTACCTAAAAACCGCATCGTTTTAAAAATCAAACTGTTTGAATAAATCACAACACAATTCAATAAAAAAGTCAAAAAAAATATTCCTGACCAATATTGCACTGTGACAAGGAGCAGAGCCGCCGTTTAGCTTTGGTTCTAATACCGATTCCAACCGACTAAATAAACTCCCTTCCTATATCTTATAACATTTTGAACCGATTCTCGACGCTCAAGCGTTTACGAATACGATCCTACTTTGAAGGCCCTGTTGTCATTTATTCTAAAAATAAAGCTAGACCTCTACAAATTTGCACAAATGCTCGTTGGACTTAACTAGAATTTCGAAAAAAAATGTTGTCTTTTTGACCACGCCTTCTTTCCGCCTCCGCCATTTATGAAGTATTTATTACACAAAATTGGTTTAAATCATTAATTATGATAAAAATACTTAAACAAAAGCTTGAGCTTAAAAATATATTTTATTGATTGATTGATTGTGATTTTATTTGAATCGCTCCAACATGCGATTGTATTTCAGTAAATGGTTGTTTACATAGGCAATAAATTGGCCTTCAGTCAGCTAGTTTTCATCAATTTTTTATAAAATATAACTTTTTACAGCGTCTGCTTCGCGTTTGTTGTTGATCCGAACCTCAAGCAGCGCTGCAAGAGTGAGCTCATAGGCACCTGCAAAATGCAATATTTCCCGAAAAGGGGCAAAAACGGGCCGAAAGCATTAATACCATTTGGTTCTATATTAATTGGTTAAAAACAGCTAACTTGAACCTTGGTGATTGGTACAAAAGTAATATTCTACAGAACACCCGTAACTTTGTTGGTATACAGCTAAAAATACACTCGAACAACACATGGGGAAATTCAATAACAACACATAACTATCTAAAAACATGTAAACAATAAATCTACTTTCAGTTAATATTTAGGATCGAGTCAACATTCAAGTTGCAAGTAGTTCAATGTTTTCCAACATTTTTTACAACTGAAAGCACCACTGAATCAGCTGATTTTGAAAGGGTATTCCTTAAAAATGTTCTAATATTAGTTTTGTTCTATCTTGTTATTAAGGAATCGAAAAATGAAAACCGCATTAAAATATTTAACACAAAAAAATTACATAACTGCCAAAATTTTCGACTTTTTTCCCATAGTGCATCGGTTAAACTTTAAAGTTAAATAACTTGAGTGTCCACATATCAAAAAATCCGGACAGGCAGAAAAATACACATTTTGTTGATTTTTGAAAACACACATATGTACTCGTACAAGTTACATAGGCCTAAGAAGTGTAGATAATATTCGTATGTACAGCTGCGGTGCCAATATGACTTTACAAATATCCTCAAAAAAAGAACTTACGAGCACTGCCCCATAATAATTTTAGTTATTTTAGAGACTACCTTATTTGCAAATTGTAAAAATAGAAAACAACTCATAATAAACCATCAACATTTTCAGAAAACAATTAAAATGTTGAAGTACCTCAAAAACGGGTCGGTCAAAATAATAGTTGTGCAACTTTTCATAAGAGACAAACGGTCTCACAACATTTTCTAAGAGTGGTCTTTATATAATATATTAACAACAGTAAGTTCAAAGCTAGTTTAAAGATTTATTTTAGTAGCCTATGCCAGCTCTACCGTCAGCTCGGCTTTGGCATGGAGCTAACTAAATTTTGGTAGCTTTCTACAGAAACCCTCCTCCAGGACCTTTGCAAAACGTCGCAAAGTTGATTGTGTTATTTATGAGACTTTTCCTTTCATATAGCATCATAAATTCTCTATTATATTTAGATCGGGTGATCAGTCCGACCATTGCCGAATAACTTTCTTGACTTTGAATAGCTAAACAACCAATAATATCTGGCATCTCAAAATATTACTTTCCTACTGAAACGAGCAGTTTAAGAACGAACCTAGAGTGTTTGCCACGCCCCATGACACCGGTACCAAATGACCAAAAACGAAACTAAAAAAGCTTGAAACTGTTCAATAAATCATTCTAGTTTTGTTTAACAACGAAAGTTAGCACTACTATTATTTTGACCGCATCAAAATGTTGATATTTATCGAAAAATCTCGAAATATAACGGAAAGAAATGGGACACGCTTGTATAACTTTATAATCAAGGAAAGAAACGCTTAATAGTTGTACGAGTAAAAAAACCAAATTCGATTGTTGAAGAAATCGCGTAAAAAATTAACAATATTCAAATCCATTAGTAGCACTGTACGTGTGACCCAGCGAAATCTGTGTATTAATTCTAAGAAAACCCAAGAGGGGAAAATATGTGAAGCCTGTCACTAATTGGCATCGCTTAGCATGCGAGCGATAATTCGTCACGCCAATTGACCCAGGGAGATGTGAAAACGATCGTCTAGATCGGATATCAATCGATTGCTTCCCAAGGTGTAAGTAAACAGACGCCATTTGGAGGCTACAAATGTTTACCTTATCTTGGGTATTCGTATCTATTATCAGTTGCTTCAATTTCTTTGACCGTATGGAATAAAAATGAACTTGTTTCCACATAGAAACTCGTATGTATTGTTTCAAACCGCACATTTGTTGTAATCTTTCAATTCATTCTTTTAGTGGGTTATTTTATAATTTTCCAAAGAAATTATTCAGGTCAGTCATCGTGAATTACGAACAGTTTATTCGCCCAGATGAGGTTATCATTGCTATTATTTAAAACAGTCTAATAAAACGATGACCTTGTGGAATTTTTTTGAGTTTGAAAGCCACAGATAATTTTTGGAAGGAGCGTACTAACAGCTTCGGGATGCTTGAGTTGTCCTACTCATTTCTTGCTGCTAATTTTCTGATTTTGTTTACCTTTCGAGTCGTCCGTCACGTGCTGTTTTCTGTTTAATCGTCAAGATCAGTTATTCAGACTCCGCTGTTGTTTATTCTTTATATGATACCACAAGAACTCGTTAGATAACTTTAATGCAATACTTGCCTTATCTGCCAAGCTCAGGTCAGCGAAAGTTGTCTCCGGCACTTTGGTCATTTCGAAGCCAACTAAACTGAAATGGAACAGCCAAAAACACAACAAAATTGCTTCAACGTCAAACATTTTTAAAAACTCTTCAAAGACCGAGAGATCGACCTTGGGCGACTTACATTTAGACAGATTCGAAACAGGTTATTTGCTTCTCTCGGACTCTGCGTCACGTTTGGGATTTGTTTGCTTTCTGTTTTCGATTTATTATATTCTGTGCCCCAAGAGACTGGCTCTAATCAACAACTGCAAGTGTTCGGTTTGGTTGTTGGGTTATATATGTACATATGTATGTATGTATGTAACTTAACCAGAATGGCTCGATTTAAAGTAAAGGCGGAGGTATAGCGTCAGCTCCAGTGGAGATCAGACGGCAGACTAGGTCGGGTTTACCCTCTGATCAATCGCACAGCACAGCGTTTGAATCTCAAACGAGATCGCAATGTTGGTCTCGAGCGCTTTACTACCGAGCTCTCTTTCTACGTATGTATTTGGGGCGTACAGCAATCTTGCTCGGCAGACGTCCTCACTCGGCTGGAGCAAACAATAAACTGATTCACATTCCCAGGTATATAGTGATCAGCACGATCGTATAGATATAAAGAAATAGTGCAAATAAAAAACAAAAACCGAAGCGAAGCAATGAGACGATGCGAGTGTCAGCACCAGCTCAAAGAAGAAAAATTCGTATGCAGCAACATGGGAATCTTATCATGGTTCCAGCTTTTATCGCATTCGCCCGTCGAGCTGTTAGATGGGCTAACCGAAGCCGAATCCACCCGTCGTCGTCATCCTCATCCGCGTCAAAGTCTTATCAAGATCCAAATTCGCTCATTGCCGTCCCGTCCAGATAAGCCAATTCAGCGTAGGCCAAGACAGAGAATAGAATGCCACTTTATGTGTGTTGTGTGTATTCATATTTATAAGTTCGTTTCCAACTCTAAAAAATTACCCTAAAGCTACATATATTAGAGATCACGAGTTTAGTGTTAGCTCTACTTTACCCTCAGGCATAATCTTTTCGATTACCGTTTCCATTAATTATAAACATTTGGAACGTTTTTTTAAAGATCACGTGACTGCAAATTAGGATACCGATAATTTTTTACATACGTAAACGGTAGAACAATTTTCCTGCTCCTGTCCAGCTCTCAGAAGTCTCAGAAGCCTTCATTGGCAACGTGCCCAAAAAAAAAAAAGAAAACTTAAAAAGAGCATTCGGATGGGATAAATGCTGACTCGCGTCTCACAATGCTGATGTTTGGTTCATGCTGGATATAATAATGATCCGATCTGATCCAGATACGTCAATCTGGTAGATATGGTCATTGTGGATCCACAGATTTAATAAATTTGGTTTCTCTATTTTTGATAGTCTCAGACGGTTAAGCATTCTGATATTGGACAAAAATTTATGAGGACATCTTAATTAGATTGCTCCCATATCCCAAATGATATTCCTTAGATGAATTTTTTGTCTATCGCTAAGCAAAATCAAACGTGGTTGCACAAGAAAATTTTAGTTGGAGGTTTACCCCAGAAAATACTAAACTTTTTAATGCAAATGACCTAATCAGGCTAAAAGTAACATAGGCCAGAAACTTAAGTAGCAGCCCTCATATATTTGAACTCAAATCCCTTAGAAACGTTGCCAGGATCTTATTGAATCAATGCCATGACGGTGCAAAGCGAGAAACTTAATAGATATGTATGTATTGCGAAATTATTATACATGTGTATGTACATAAATATATTCTGCATCAGCACTCATGGCCGTTATCACAATCTTCTGTGCTATCCAACTGCTAAAGGCGTAATAACAATTTTTTCACTCTCCCACGATTTTGAAAATAAAACTCAGAATAATGGGAGTGAACATATCTACCTTTAAAGCCCGAATAAAGAAAAAGATTTTCCGTTGCTGAGTCCCCTGGCACACACTCCTTCCTCGTCCAGTATTTGAAGCACTATTCGAAATTTGATCTAGTGTGATATCACAGTAGATATATCACAGCAAACAAAATTCACAAGACAGACAGATGGACATGGCTTTATCGACTTGGATCTTCAAGAATATTTATATATGTACAATGTACACAGTAGATGAATGTACTTTATGGGATCTAAAACATACATTTTCGAGATATTAATACTCCCATACTCTGTGAGCAAAAAATAATTTGCGAATTTAAGCAATTTTGGCCTCTTACAGTTGTTGGCTTCGATTTTGAGCCAATACATGTAGTCACAAAACTGTTCATCATACATGCTACATATATTATATTTGTCTGCTTTTTCTTAAATTCTTGGTGGTTCGATGAATGTGTAGATTCCAATTAATTTAAAAAAGAGCCAGCTGGTTTATTGTGAGACCGGGTTGGTCGTTAAAATCATTTCTTTCGTGCCGTTCCGCCATTTTTACAAAAGATACCCAATGAATTAATAGCGAACAATTTTATGGGATGTAAATGCGCTCTTTTAGCGTTGCCATAAACCACAAGAAAATTAATCAATCCGCCGAGATAGCATTACACCATCAACCCTACCCTCTCCAGGGGCGCTGTGAAAAGGATGCTTCATATGCGGGGGATGAATGTGATTGTTCCCCAAAATGGCCCGTAACCGAGGGATGAACTGTTCCTACGGTCTAATTGGTTGTTGCCGCCAATTCCAAGTATTACCTCAAAATAAAATGATCCGCAGCATTGTGCTGGAGAAACATTTTGTGTGCTGCCTGAAAGTGATGAAAGGACTTCGTGCTAAGACACAGTAACAAAAGGCTCCACTTAAAGGCAAGCATGTATTTTGTTTATTTATTACATTATCTTTGTGATCTCCTGCAACAGCATTTAATCTGGCATCAGCTGCACTCAAAATTATGAAATGAGGATTATAGGATCCATAACTCTCATAATTAATATACATAAGTCACATCATTAACAAAAACGCTCTTTCAGCGTATAAAGTCATATTTACAATGTACGGTACGCACTATTTACATTTAAAACTAATTTAAATCTATGTTGTATATACACAAAAGTCTATTTAATACCGTCACGGATCGGATGTGCGTACATATTGTACATAAATGTAGTTAAGCCCTTTACCGACAGCTTTCATATCGAGCCAACTCTCTCCATAAGATACCAGGGCAAAAACACTGTTGCTGCCACAACGGCAACACACGTGGCGCACAAAGCAATTGTCGTCGACAGATTTGATATTGAGAAGTGATCTTCCTTTTCCTCAAGCTCTTCATGTGGATGCTTTTCAAACTCCAGGACCTCGACATCAAACCGAAATCGAACTTTAGATTCTGGCGACTCCTTGCGCCAAACCAAATGTCCCGACGACTCGCGTCTCTCCAGGCTCCATTTCGGATCGTGGACTGCAAAAAAAAAATAGACATTGCGCTATTGATTAACAAGAAAGGATGTCTTTTTGATATTCTAACAGATTGATAGTTTCTAAGTTAGCAAATTAATAAATTCATCCGATTTGGAGGGTATTTTGGAGTGAAGTATGATTGATATAATAATAAAAGCCGCGAATGAACATACATAAATATGTATGTATGTGCGTATGTATATTTACATTTATTCCTTATAACTGTACGTGTGTCTGTTTTAATGACTGCTAGTCTCTCAGTTTTGCAGTAGGCCGCAACTTACCATGGATCATTCAATCTACTGTAAGCTGTATACATACATATGTACCTATACTATTTCAAATGTCGTCGATCGGATGGCTATACCACATAAGTTAGTATGGAAACGATTCGTGGAAAAACAAGATATTCGTGAGAAAAAGTCTTTCTTTTCTGGAGATAATTTAACTAAATTCTGAAATTATACAACTCAGCGAAAGGAATAACGAGAAGGAACGTGTGAATCGCTTCTGGGGACGCGACTCTACTTATACCCGTACTCAGTCAGCATATACATTTTTGAGCATATGATTTTTTAGAATTTTAGAACTAATACAAATATTTTACATTTTACATTTGTTTGCTACATCTGCTATCTACATCTACAATGTATATTATACATCTAACATGTAGATTGTACATGTTCTATTTAGATTCTACATCTCCTCCGCTAGGCGTTGCTCGCGCACTGAACGCGGCAGAGTGTGCGAGCGAGAAAGAGTATAGGTAGCTGGTCTCTAGCAGGAGGGGGCGGAAGAACCAACTGAAAATGAATTTCTTCATTCTGGCTATAATTATGATCCGATCTGATTCAGATTCGGCAATCTGGTAGATATGGTCATTCTCTGCGTTTTTTAATGCCTGCCAGAGATTTTCGTCCTTTGTGGGGGCGGGGCGAAATTTTGAAATACACTTGTAGCAGTGTGATATCACATGAGCCTTGAAACCAAATTTAGTTGCCCTTGCTCTTATAGTCTCTGAGATGTAGGCGCTCAACAAGACGGACAGACAGACAGACAGACAGACGGACAGACAGACATGGCTATATCGACTCGGCTATTGATGCTGATCAAGAATATATATACTTTATGGGGTCGAAACGTTTCCTTCTCTGCTTTACACACATCCACTTTTACCACAAATCTAATATACCCCTTAACTCTTTTTTGAGTACGGGTATAAAAATCGTATAACTATGAAGTGCATCCAATTTATACCTTGCAAAGACTGTGTATTTTGATACTTTGATGTTCAGAGTTAAATATTTAAATTTACCTGATCCAGTCATTATGCCTCTTTCACTTGGTGATATTGTTTAGAGTCTGAAAAAACACAAAAGTAATATTAACGAGGTGGAACGGTAATTACCGTTACTGATTATAATCAGTCAATCAAATTTTAAAATATTTTATCTGTTTCCATTCTTCCGCGTTCCTAATTCCGCTACATCTGTCTCTCTCTCTCTTGTTACACCAACACGCCGTTCTCGCTCGTTCCACCCTGGCAGAGGGCGCACACTGCACGAGGCACGAGGATGCCACAGATGTTCGTCCATTGCGGGGGCGTTAAGGGGCGTGGCAGAATTTTGAAACAAACTTGATTCAGTGTGATATCACATGAGTCTGGAGACAAAATTTGTTAGTTGGTGTAGTTAGATACATATCTATCTATGTATGTACTTGTTTATGTACATACATTGTACATGTGTCTAACTCAAAACGATATCATGAAAAGTATTTCGAGAAATGTGCTGCCCGATAACCTCAGGCAGTACCAGTGAGTTGATAGCCATGACAACGACAACTCACTCGTTCCAGCTGAAGTTCGTCCATCTCATTAGAATTTCCCGCACACTGTCAAGCTTTACCCAACAGGCGTCGATTGTGTGAAACAGTATTGAAATGTGACTTAACATATCAATGCCTGACCCTGTCCTTCACCGTTCAATTGTCTCCAATGAAAAAGTTACTGCCGATTGGGGCAGTGCCTAGAGCGAAGATAGTACATGAATTGAGCCCGTTTAGACTTTGAGTTGGTTGAAATTCCAACTTTTCCGTTTACTCACACAAGCAGGTCGAAAGACACCACCTGACTTTTAACACCCACTATACGAGGGTATATCGTTGCTATTAGCCTATTCATTTGACCGCCTAATAATTATTATTTAAAACGAAATGCGACTGAAATAAATATACAACGAAAATTGCCCAATTCTACATCATGAATTATGAATAAATAAATTCCTGGTGTAGACAAAACTAGCTAGTTAGGCTTTTCTTGTCTCAGATATATTGTTCAGTACATCAGTAAATATGTAAATAAAATTCTAAGGCCCAGGTATCTTTATGTTGAGGCACTAGAAGCTAGGGCCTAGAAATAAACGTTCATTCTTCTTTTGGTGCGACACTTGAAGCCACAACAATAAACAATTAATTACATAAAATGGACATTCTGCACAAGATCGAGTAAAAACGCGCAACAGGGTACATATCGTATATCGCAAGCAGGAAAAATACTTTCAATACTTTTATATACATACATACATACATACATATGTATGTAGGTATGTGCATACTTACATATATAAATCCAAATAAATTTTGATACAAACTAGGATGTTTATGTTGTTCAAGAATACATACGTATTTGTATGTATATTTGATGAGTATTAATGATCATCCTGGTTCAATACACAATATACCCTCTCTACTATACGAGCGATGGGTACACAACATAGTGGAATGTTTCTTCGTTTTCAATGTCATTTAGCATATATCACAAAGTGCTCGAACTTTGAAATAACATGGGAAGGTCATAGTGCGAAATTAGCATTCCAACGATGGGGTTGGCCTTGAATCTTGAATGCCAGCAAAACGAAAGCATAAAAACTCGACCTAGCTGCAATTGAATAGTACATCAAATTTTAAAACGATCAACAAGTAACAACAGCTGACGGCAGAACAAAATATGTAGATATGCAATGTTATTTATTTTTTACTCATCAACACAGAACACATCGACAACCTGCTTCTGGACTTTGCTCCACACAACGCGCTTTTGCACAGTGCAATTCCCTACAATTAATTCCTTTAAAATAATACGATGCTTACAATTACTTTTGATCGTCTTCCGATAACATAAAGCCATAAAAGAAACACACGCCACACAAATGAGTTCCTCTCTGGGGACCTATGTACATATAATGGGATTTTTTCATTTTTGCTGCTACCGCTCTCTGATAAGATTCGCAAAGAAAGAAACGACAACGTCAGCTCAACACTTTAATCAATGAACTCACTCAGTTGGCCGCTACATAGAGTAGACCACTCAGCTGATTGAGAGCTTTTGGCAGACGCCAGTCCGTTCCACTGCGAGCACTGGTACAGTAATCACTTGTTCTAGCTAACAGAAGAGTTTTGCTATGCGCAATTACAAAAAGCACATCTCACAAATTATTTAATAGCCAAAAAATATATATGTATGTATGTACATATACAAATATACATACATATGTACTGTAGCTTCACTCTTCACACATTGTTATTGTTTTTGGTTATGACAGTCAGAGATCCCGCGGACTCTGGACCACATTTACACCACCTGCTCCTATATTAATCACAACAGAATCAGAGTGCATGTCGCACAAGCCAATGTCCACTGTGCTTAAAACGCAGAAACAAAGGTCGAATGGTTGGGTTGCCACAAGTACAACTACTATACATTTCCTAGGCACTAAAATTCACTGGAGGTACACACAACACGCGCCACCGACAGATAAGAGCGGAAAGACCCTCGTTCGGTTAATTGATGTACATTGTACATATGTACATACGCCTAAAGTGTTTATGAATATTCTGGCATACGTCTATATGTATGTAAATATGTATGTGCATAGATCGAAAATCGTATGTTGTCAATTAATCAATACGTTTAATGTCAATGAATGTACAGGAGTACATGCCCCATGCCAATCGATTGTTCAAGGGTAGGAAAGTGGAGCCACTAGCAACCGAAAAGACAAACAACAATACTATTCTTTCTGCAACTTTTGTTTTTAAAAGTCGATGCTCAGCTGCAGTTTATGTAAAGCTCGACGTGTTTTTGTTATTACCGCCTTGAGTGATTTGAAAGCTCATCAGCGAGGCGAGGCCGAGCACCGATTGCGGATTGCGGATTAGTCACACAAAACAGACAAAACACACTCTGCCACCGGTGTACAGCGGACGTCGCTGTTGATCTTGCAAGCTCTTGCCGAGTGTGCCCGCGCCGAACTATTGAAGTCCATGTATGAAACCAGACTGCCGATACCGCTCCGGCTACATTCCGTCGCAGCGCCAACAGTAGCAACGGAACGGGAGCCGCCGGCCCGAGAGTCACTAGGGGGCTCGCCCTCGCCTCACACCATTGTGCTGTGCTTTTTGCTACTGCTCGTACCAACCAGAGTGGGGCCAACCAACTACAACTACCCCACCACTACCCCACTCGTTTCACTCATCTTTGAATGGAATATGCTTTTAGATGTGCATATTTTGATTTTTATTCGCCTTTTATCTCACTTTACGACTGTATAAATGTTCAACATAGTGTACATTAGTAATTGCTGAATCCGCAGCGACCATCGACAACGTGCAAGAAGTATTATTAATTATTATCATTACCAAATAAAGTACATATACATACATATGTACATAATACATATATGTTCATATATATATATAAGTATGTACATATGTATGTCTGGCTCCATAAAGTATATGTGAATATACATAGTATATTACTAGTCAGCATGAACCGCCGAATGGATAAATGCTTAATCATTTAGCAGCCATTGCAACGATCGGTAACCAGTCGAGTTTAAATTTGTAAGCAGGGTATGAACTATGCCCAAGCTAAATTGTCGTCAACCTTTTCGATCGCGTCTGATTTTAGAACATATTTAATAAATAAATACTTGCAACGGAGGGTATTATGATTTTGACAAATCAATTGTTCGCAACGCCGAGACTGAAAAATTTCTGGCAACCCCAGGCATTTGTGGATCAACTTAAATGTTAAATTGGTCTGTGTATTACATATACTTATATATGTATGTATGTACAAGTATTTTCATGAAAACAAATTCAATATACTCCCATACTACCCGTAATTGATTACCTGGTATAAAAATGGATATGACTCTGTACAAATGTAGTTCTTAGTTGGGCAGTGGAAATTAGTGAATAATTAAATCCACTAATTTCAACTGTCTTTCTAGTTTTAAATATTCCATTTAGGATTAAACAAAAGTCTCGTGATCTACATATGTACATATGTATGTATGTAGATAGTGAGGTGGACGATCAGCCATTTCGTTGTTGCTTTCCCTATTGGTCTCAATAATTAAAAGTAATGTGAAAAAATATTAATAGCTGACATACATAAATAAGTACATATGTATGTATATACATATGCAAACATTTTTAAAAACAATCGATCTGTGTGGGTATCAAAAGCTTTGGGCCCGATGCTGCCCTCCAGATCCGTTGTTTTTCAACAATTGAACATCACACAACTGTCGAATATATGTAGAGTAGGTTGTTGTCATGAAAAAGAGTAATTGAGACCAATTGATCCCTACGCCTACCGTAATTATCATACCCAGCCGATAAGGCTTGTGCAGCATCAACAAAGAGAAAACAATAGGTACTGTTCTCTGGGCTTTATTTGTCGCTGTGTGTTGAGTGATACTGTCTGATTGTACTTCCAGTCCGTAGTAATGACAGCTCTCTTTCCATACATATGTACATTCTTACACAAGTACGTAGAAGTATGTATGTGTGTACATATGTATGCATGTATGTATGTATGTACATATTATATTTTGTTTGCACTCTGAGCGGAAAGACTCAGATTATCTGCGCGGCGCGAGAATGAATTATCATTTTCCCTTCGTCTGCCCTGATCATTGGACCAAAATAAAAACCACCAGGGCGCTCGCGGAAGACTCATTATGAGCTCCAGACCCTGAATCCCAAGCAAAGAATAACATCGTAATCAGAGCATACATATGTACTTATATGTATTTAGTTATTCTGTACACTTCCCTGTTGTAAGTATCAAATAAAGTTATGTCCCGAGCATCGACATCTGAACGTTCTAACTCTGAAGACAGGTAGGTAGGTCCCTGCGCGTCAGCGAAGCAAATGATTTTTGTATCTTGGTCTCGCACCCTGACATAGCCACTCACAGAGTTGCTTGACCGAGGTGCTCAGGAACTGTGCCGATATTCAATCGCTGGAAAGCTTGAGCCTGCCCCACAGCTACGACTACAACGAGCGGAAGATGATTTCCCCAAACCCGTATTCCTTCAGCGGGAACGTGTCGAATAGCAGCTGTGCCAGCGAAGACGTTTCCTTCACCGACTGTATACTTGAGGACAATGGCCGTATTTCGTTGGCCTACGAAAATCTAAGAAGTATTCCACGGCGACTTGCAGACAAGTTTGCAGCGCAGACCAAGTGCCTCGATCTTAGTCATAATGACTTTCGCGATTTAAAATTTCTCTCCTTCTTCGAGGACCTGGACACACTGATCTTAGACAGAAATGTGAATTTGGACCTGAACACACTACCATATCTGCCAAGCCTTAATATATTGTGGTAAGTCTTCGTCATCTGCATTGAATTCGATAGCCACATCGACACTTTTTATCTTCTAGGATCAACAACTGCGATGTCTCAAACATAACCGACTGGATACACCGCATCGAACGTCACTGCCCAGCGCTGGAACAGCTATCGTGCATGGGAAACCCTGGAATCCGCAACGTCTTCGGCAGTCAGGGTGCCGAAATGGCTGTCGCCCGCGACTATATTCTTCAAGTATTACCCAATCTTAAATATCTTGACGGTGTGCCGGTGCCGGTATCCCAGAAAAACGGTAACGGAAGCCATTCTGCTCTCTCCCCATCCCAAGGGCAATGCCAAGACTCAACGAGCCACTCGGGCAGTGGGAAAATTTCCACACCGACACTCGCGTTCAAGAATCTCTTTCGACTCAAACAATCCCCGAAGCCACATGGTCCTGGTGGAGTGCGAAGCGAGCAGATGTTTGGAAACGGCTCCTCCACAAACTAACGTAACATTCGGTTCGGGAAGGGTACATATGTACATACAATATATGCATGTGATATTTAGCCATCCACGGAATTATCAGCGCTGCACTCATGGCTTCTCCCCCAGAATACTGCAGCCCTGGATTGCACCTACATAACAATGGATGCAATGAATGTGTACGAGTATATGATAATTGTCATGAACTAAATATGTACACATATGCTAATGTTAATAATGCACGAGCCAGCCCAGCAAAAATAATCTAGTGTCATAAAATGAATTTTACAATGCAGCGACTGAACCACATCAATAAATGTTCTTTATTAATGGCTGGGATTATTATATATATGTATATTCGTGCATTCACAATAATTTTTCATATTTTTTTTCATGGTAACTTTTTTATAACTTAAAGACCACGTTGTTCAATATCTAATCAGCACCTGTTTCGATTATGAATACTTCTTTGAAACGTACATAAAGAAGCTTTTCAGGCACCATTAAACGTACATATGTACATATGTATGTATGTATATTAGGCTGGTCCAAAATTTGATCAAACAATTTTTTTTTCAATCAGATCTGTTCTTTTTAGTTAATAAAATTATTTAACTTTTTTCAAATTTTTAGTTTAATGTTTTGGGGTTGCTACTCCGAAAAGAAAATAGACGTTTTTTTTTGTTAAATATATGTACATACAAAAAAAAAATTTAATTCGTTGGTTTTTTCAAATAATATTGAAATAAGGTACTTTTTTTTTTTTTTAGTTACTGTTAAAAATTTAACGACTGGTGAATATCAGGAAGTTCAGCTGAGGTTGATATATTTAGTAAACTTGTTCGCAAAAACTTTGTTTAATAAAAATAAAAATTTAAATATTACTATCAAACCAAAGATAACAAATTTTAAAGGGTGTTTAAATTAAAAAAAACAAACATATTTTTGGCTCAACCTAACCTAAGGGCAAGCAACTGCCCAACAATTCTTTATTTATATAATAATGATCCGATCTGAACCAGATCCAGAACCAAATTTGGTAGATATGGTCATTCTCAAAGATTCTGCGTTCTCGTATCTTTAAAATTGTGGATGCCACAGATTTTCGTCGTTTGCGCAATGGGGCGTGGCAAAATTGTAAAACAACCTTGATTCAGTGTGATATCACAAGGGTCTGGAAACGGAATTTTGGGTGCAGACAGACGGACGCAAGGACAGACAAACATGGCTTTATCGACTCGGCTATTGATGCTGATCAAGAATATATATACTTTATGGGGTCCGAAACGTTTCCTTCTGTGCGTTACGCAAATCCACTTCGACCATATCGCACATATATCATCACATATTTATATACTGACCGAGTACGGGTATAAAAGTAGAAACGCGGCCACATTAGCGACTTACAACTTTACTTCTCGTTTATAATAGATACATTTGTATGTACATATGTATGTATGGAGCTATCATAGGTCGAACATAAACGTTTTTATACCCAGGATTCAAAAAGGAGATGATAACTAGAGGCATCGTACTAGATCAAGTTTGTTTCAAATGTCTGAAACTTAGTTCCTAAGAGTGACAGACTCTCTCGGCCCGCTCCTTCTCACCGGTTTGTAAGGTAAATACACGAAGAGAGCGCACCACTCCGGTTCCCACCCACCGCATACTCACGTGCAGTGGCACTCGTAAAGTCACCTGCTATCCGTCATATCTTAAAAAATGTATTTATGGCAGGGAGAATGTGTACAATGTACAATGTGTATTTTGACTCTCTTTACTGTAACGTATGTAAATTGGATCAGATTACAGCTGCCATGGGTATAATCAAACGAATGTGAATATGAATAACCTTTTTTGTTACCAAAATTCAACCAGATTCAGTTTTTTTCATAGCTAACTGTATGGTATTTAAATCGGATACTATATGTATCATAAAGCTGAAGCAGGAGCGATCAACCTGCAAAGGTATTTAAATCTTCAGCCCACAAAGCTAGCATTTTTTTTTTATTTATGCTTTAAGCGCTTGTGTAAGCCGTATGCTATGTTGTTTACTATATTAATAAAAGGGGAACAAAAAAGTTGCAATAACATTTTTCTGATCTTTCCGCACAGTTTATTGCTGAACTATCTTCACGCAGTCAATTTAAGAGTGATTTGATGAGCAGGATTACCGAATTGCTAAACATGATAAATATTAGCTTGGATGCACTGTTTGACTAAATTCTAATTTACACCCGGTATTTTTTTTAATATTTATATTCTTTAATTGTTGAAAACTTATTTTGGAGAATATTTGGAATTTTTTTTAGACACGTTGCATAAATGAATCCACCAATAATTGCATCTTTGGGTCAATTTGACTTTATTTCCAAGTTTCCCAATGCTGCCTCCAATGAGAGAATTAATTTCTCATTGTTTTTGATCGAAGACTGCTTGGCGGTATGGGACGAAACTTGTTCCAGGGCCCACTGTGCCAGCTTTTGCGACTCTTTGCGCTTGGAACTTACTGCTTTAGAATTGGCCAAAAAGTTGCAGCTCAAATAAAGGCCATAGAGGGCACGCAAATTGTGAGGATTCAACTTAAGAGCCTGCGAATAGTACGTACGAGCTGCTTCAACATTCTCAACGCCACCCTGCAAGGAATACAACTTATTGTCCATGTGTTTTTATCGCAAATTATGGAAATAGCTCACCATAGTGTAACGTATCTCTGCGAGTCTCTGATGTATCAAATGGCTGTGGGGATTGTGCAGCAAAACTTCCTCCATGCAAAATGATGCCTTTCCGTACTCGCCCTCGGCCAGGTACATGCTGCACAGCTCGTGCCATGCTTCCTGATCGGACATGAACCTGCAAATACAAAAAATTAGCGTGAATTCCTTTCCACTGTATTATGCAGAAAGTGGTACTTTTTTAAATAATCGTTTAGTTCCTTGATGGCTTCCACTCGACGACCACGCGCCTTAAGTATAGCAATTTTCCGTTTCCGGGGCGCAGCATTTGTCTCATCTTTGGCTATTATGGCATCCAGCACTTCATCGGCCTCGTCATATTGTTCGAGTGCTTCATAACGCATAGCTTTGAACTTCATCACGCGCAGACTACCGGGAAACTCCAGGCTCAGCTGCTTGGTGCAATTAGTGGCAATATCGAATCGCGCCGTATCCAGTGCCGCTATTATCACCTGCTCCAGAATCAGATGTCGCTCATTGCCAGTTTTATGCACTTTGTCCTCGAGTACCGCGACCCAAAGCTGGACAACCTCCTCGCTATGTCGTCCGGTTTCCTCGCGCCACTTTCTAAACTGGTCTCGCACATCTGAAAAGAAATTGGATACGTTTTTACTTTGATTTTCCAGCAGATTTAATTTAAATATTCCTGTATAAAATGTCATTTATATGTGGGTACACATGAACATAGAAGAGACATGCTTAATTCAATTAAAGTCCGATAAAGCCCGATTACTAAACGAAGCACTCAAAACTTTACCTGACCAGCTCATTTCTTCGTAGTTCAGTGACATTTTTACTGAAACGGCTTTCTCAAAAGATAAAATTTAATTTAATTTTTTTTAATTTATGTCAATTGAGAATTGGACAGTGTGACCGCGGACTTATCGACAAAATATACCTTTTGGTCCTGATAAATATACCGAATATTCCCTATTTTCAAAATATACCGTAAATAGACCGATAGAAAACTATTTATTTTTACATTTTCGTTCGAACGAAAGTGACATATTTCACTCGGTTCCCAGTGTGGTCACTGTTTTGTTTCTTTACAAATGGGATCTGTTAAAATTTTAAATTTTGTTTTAATGGAAGGCCGTCATAAACACAAACTCTTATAATCTAAGAATAAAAAAAATTAGATCGTTTTGAGAGGGCAATCTCTTGCCATTTGGCACTATTACTTGGGACATAACATGGGAAATCTTACTTAAAATCTGTCGCTGAGCCTCTAGACTTTTTCCGAAGGGTTGCTTTGTCGGAATTGTGTTGGATGTTGACAGCTTTACATTAAAAACGTCAAACCAGTCGTTTACCAATTGAATGAAGTCTGCCGTTTCGGATGCGCTGCATACATCCAAGCCCAATGAATAACAGTGCTTTAAAGCACTGGCTGTGGTATTTGATAGCAGCTGAGCTGCCAGCTTGACTTTCTGTCTGCCTGCATAGCGCACGTTAAGGTGTTCATTCGTTACTTTCAACAAAACGGAAAGATCCGATGAGGAAGCGTAGTTCAAAGCTTGCCTCACGGCCTGCTGAGATATAACTTTCCCATTAGTCCAATGTGGATGCAGTCATTGGCTTATCAAAGTCAAAATATATCGGGTGCTTCCAAGACTTCCGCAATCCTTGTGCCATTGCGACTTTAACGTAGTCCGATGGCTCTTGCTCTGCTTCCAGAGAGTGACCGTTCCCGTAATTCGACGTGACTTTCATCTCGTCGAAATAAATTATACATATTTTGTCCTCCTCTTCCATGTCGACGTCATTTTCCATCAAGGAGATGACAAAATCTAAAATGCCCGGCTGTATTTCTACTGAGTGCAACCATCTGTCCAAAGTGGATAAGGATGGAAGTGGAAACCCCTTTTTGATCAATTGCTGATACGCCCGGGGACCAGCTGCATGGAGACAAATCGCATTGGACTCTTTTTCCGCCGTTATCAAGTTTTGGGACTTGCGATTTTGTGAAAATGGTATTAAGGGAGTTTCAAGGAGGAGCTTGTTCAAGGAGCTTATCATTTTTGCGTTGTAAATCAGAAACTTTCTTTTGCAAACGCAAATTTTCTAAGGCAAGTCCAGAATCAACAGCTTCTTGTCTGCAAATTACTCATATTAATAACCATAAAATTATAGCTGATATGTATACATACTCGGTTTGCGAGTTGAAATCAGAAACATTGTCACCACAAGCTGATGACCTGTGCTCGGTGAACACTTGTTTAGCTTCTAGCCTCTGCGGTGCGGCATTTGGCATCAGTCGTCTCCGTTTTTTTTTGCATTTTCAGACGAATTGTAAAAAAGTCCGAGTCCTTGAAATTTTTGCTACAAATTTTACTCGTATTCGTACTTGTAAATTTTACGCTGGTGCTCTTTGACCACAGCTCCCTTCTGCTTTTGTCTTGGTACTGAAATATTCCCTACCAAAGTTTTTGACCGGCATAGCATACAATATTTTGTGGACATGTTTATATCTAATAAGGAATTAAAGACATATATAAATAGTACACACAATTTATTAACTAAATGACGAGTTTATTCGTAAGAAATGAAGAAGACAATGAAAAGAATCTTGCGCTAGACAGCCTCTTTCAATAACGTTATATCCATGATCCATGATGTATATAAGGTGGTGTGGTTGAAGGGCAAGTTATAAATAGAATATAGAACATAGAATTTGATTAATTGCAGCGCATAAAAACAGTTTGTAAAGGATATAGCAACCCTCTAGTACCAGGCAACTAGTTCGATACCGGTGCCGAACTAGCTACCATTCTCATGTCCCTAGTTCCGCTTCGTTTCCCCGACAATGTATTTCAGCGGAGAATTTAACACATGCATGTCCTAGGGCGTAACCACCCCTGGGTTCCCGATCGATTACCAGTAGCTAGTTCCGACCTAGTTACCAGTAGATCGTCAGGAACTAGTTCCCGATCGATTACCCTTCGATTACACTAGTCAACACGATTTTTCCTCAAGGAACAAAACGAACTTTTTCTTAAAGATTTGGGGCTTAGAAATGGTTTGATGATATTTTTTTTTTCTATGGCAGAACTTTTTTTAAAGAATTTTTGAAAACTGGTATTTTTTTTAAAGCTTTTTCAGAGGTAACGCTTGTTTTTTTCACATAACTCTAGTATTTACGTCTGGTTGTTAAGAACTTTGCTATTTTGAAAAGGTAATTAAAACAGCTAGAAGTTGAGCCCAAATACTTTGTGATTACCGTCTGGGAAATATAAAGCATTGAAATGCAAAAATGATGATTTTCGTGGGGTATTTTTAACGAAATTTTGACTTTAAAAACTCAGAAAAGTCGAAAAAAAATTATATCTTGTGTTATCTACGACACTTGGAGCTAAAATTCGTTAACCAAACCTAAAATATGGAAAATGAACAAAAATCCTGAGGCGGGCCCAACTGCCAATTGGGAACAAAGGAACGCGATCAGGTACCAAATGTACAACCCTTGCTCGTTTGCTTTGTTCCCAATTGGCAGTTGGGCCCGCCGCCTTCAAAAAGGTATTTTTGTTCATTTTTTCCATTTTTTAGGTTTGGTTAACGAATTTTAGCTCCAAAGTCTCTCCATAGATTTTAATGAGCGATACCTTAAACGACGCCAAATTAACGCACCTATACACAAAAAAATAGAGGACACAAGATATAATTTTTTTTCGACTTTTCCTGAGTTTTTAAAGTCAAAATTTCGTTAAAAATACCCCACAAAAATCATAATTTTTGCATTTCAATGCTTTATATTTCCCAGACGGTAAGCTGAAATCACAAAGTATTTGGGCTCAACTTCTAGCTGTTTTAATTACCTTTTCAAAATAGCAAAGTTCTGTACAACCAGACGTAAGATATTAAAGTTATGTGAAAAAAAACTATCGCTACCTCTGAAAAAAGCTTAAAAAAAAATACCAGACTTCAAAAATTCTTCAAAAAAAAGTTCTGCCATAGAAAAAAAACCATAATTCTTTAAAAAATTTTAAAGCCCCATATCTATCAGAAAAAGTCGGTTTGGATCCTTGAGGAAAAAAAAAGTTCGGTTTTGTCGAGTAGTGTTACCAGCAGCTGGTTGACCAGCAGCTTGCTGGCTTTATAATAAATAAATTAAATACAAAATTGTGTTATATGAATGTTTAATTCAAAATTAAAATATATATTAAAATCTAGCCTAGCCTACACGGTCTCTAATTCATTTTTGGTTTGGTACACCTTTGCTTAAAAACTCGTTTTTTAACCCTCTGCATAGCTTTGCGCATCTCCGGTACGCATTTCCGGGGCTTCGTCTCCAGGAATACATTCTGCGATAATTACACTAGTCAACACGATTTTTCCTCAAGGAACAAAACGAACTTTTTCTTAAAGATTTGGGGCTTAGAAATGGTTTGATGATATTTTTTTATACCCGTACTCAAAAAAGAGTTAAGGGGTATATTAGATTTGTGGTAAAAGTGGATGTGTGTAACGCAGAGAAGGAAACGTTTCCGACCCCATAAAGTATATATATTCTTGATCAGCATCAATAGCCGAGTCGATATAGCCATGTCTGTCTGTCCGTCTGTCCGTCTGTCTGTCTGTCCGTCTGTCCGTCTGTCTGTCTGTCCGTCTTGTTGAGCGCCTAGATCTCAGAGACTATAAGAGCTAGGGGAACCAAATTTTGTTTCCAGACTCATGTGATATCACACTGCTACAAGTGTATTTCAAAATTTCGCCCCGCCCCCTTCCGCCCCCACAAAAGACGAAAATCTGTAGCAGGCACATTTTTAAAGATACGATAAAACTAAAAACGCAGTATCGTAGAGAATGACCATATCTACCAGATTGCCGAATTTAAATCAGATCGGATCATAATTATAGCCAGAATGAAGAAATTAATTTTCAGTTGCTTCCCCTCCCCCTCCCGCCGACAACGCAACGCATTTTCCTTCTCGCTCGCACACTCTGCCGCGTTCAGTGCGCGAGCAACCCCTAGCGGAGGAGATGTAGAATATGAATGGAACATGTACAATCTACATGTTAGATGTAGAATAGACATTGTATATGTAGATGTAGATAGCAGATGTAGCAAAAAAATGTCAAATTTTTTTTTTTTCTAAAATTCTAAAAAATTATAAGCTCAAAAATGTATATACTGACTGAGTACGGGTATAAGTAGAGTCGTGTCCCCAGAAACGACTCACACGTTCCTTCTCGTTTTTTCTATGGCAGAACTTTTTTTTGAAGAATTTTTGAAAACTGGTATTGGGAACCATTGGGAACAAAGGAACGCGATCAGGTACCAAATGTACAACCCTTGTTCGTTTGCTTTGTTCCCAATTGGCAGTTGGGCCCGCAACCTTCCAGAAGGTATTTTTTTTTTCATTTTTTCCATATTTTAGGTTTGGTTCACGAATTTTAGCTCCAAAGTCTCTCCATAGATTTTAATGAGCGATACCTTAAACGACGCCAAATTAACGCACCTATACAAAAAAAATAGAGGACACAAGATATCATTTTTTTTCGACTTTTCCTGAGTTTTTAAAGTCAAAATTTCGTAAAAAATACCGCACAAAAATCATCATGTTTGCATTTCAATGCTTTATATTTCCCAGACGGTAAGCTGTATTCACAAAGTGTTTGAGCTTAACTTCTAGCTGTTTTAATTATCTTTTTAAAATAGGATAAAATAAGATACTAGAGCTATGTGAAAAAAACTATCGCTACCTCTGAAAAAAGCTTAAAAAAAAAATACCAGACTTCAAAAATTCTTCAAAAAAAAGTTCTGCCATAGAAAAAAAACCATAATTCTTTAAAAAATTTTAAAGCCCCATATCTATCAGAAAAAGTCGGTTTGGATCCTTGAGGAAAAAAAAAGTTCGGTTTTGTCGAGTAGTGTTACCAGCAGCTGGTTGACCAGCAGCTTGCTGGCTTTATAATAAATAAATTAAATACAAAATTGTGTTATATGAATGTTTAATTCAAAATTAAAATATATATTAAAATCTAGCCTAGCCTACACGGTCTCTAATTCATTTTTGGTTTGGTACACCTTTGCTTAAAAACTCGTTTTTTAACCCTCTGCATAGCTTTGCGCATCTCCGGTACGCATTCCGGGGCTTCGTCTCCAGGAATACATTCTGCGATAATTACACTAGTCAACACGATTTTTCCTCAAGGAACAAAACGAACTTTTTCTTAAAGATTTGGGGCTTAGAAATGGTTTGATGATATTTTTTTATACCCGTACTCAAAAAAGAGTTAAGGGGTATATTAGATTTGTGGTAAAAGTGGATGTGTGTAACGCAGAGAAGGAAACGTTTCCGACCCCATAAAGTATATATATTCTTGATCAGCATCAATAGCCGAGTCGATATAGCCATGTCTGTCTGTCCGTCTGTCCGTCTGTCTGTCTGTCCGTCTGTCCGTCTGTCTGTCTGTCCGTCTTGTTGAGCGCCTAGATCTCAGAGACTATAAGAGCTAGGGGAACCAAATTTTGTTTCCAGACTCATGTGATATCACACTGCTACAAGTGTATTTCAAAATTTCGCCCCGCCCCCTTCCGCCCCCACAAAAGACGAAAATCTGTAGCAGGCACATTTTTAAAGATACGATAAAACTAAAAACGCAGTATCGTAGAGAATGACCATATCTACCAGATTGCCGAATTTAAATCAGATCGGATCATAATTATAGCCAGAATGAAGAAATTAATTTTCAGTTGCTTCCCCTCCCCCTCCCGCCGACAACGCAACGCATTTTCCTTCTCGCTCGCACACTCTGCCGCGTTCAGTGCGCGAGCAACCCCTAGCGGAGGAGATGTAGAATATGAATGGAACATGTACAATCTACATGTTAGATGTAGAATAGACATTGTATATGTAGATGTAGATAGCAGATGTAGCAAAAAAATGTCAAATTTTTTTTTTTCTAAAATTCTAAAAAATTATAAGCTCAAAAATGTATATACTGACTGAGTACGGGTATAAGTAGAGTCGTGTCCCCAGAAACGACTCACACGTTCCTTCTCGTTTTTTCTATGGCAGAACTTTTTTTTGAAGAATTTTTGAAAACTGGTATTGGGAACCATTGGGAACAAAGGAACGCGATCAGGTACCAAATGTACAACCCTTGTTCGTTTGCTTTGTTCCCAATTGGCAGTTGGGCCCGCAACCTTCCAGAAGGTATTTTTTTTTTCATTTTTTCCATATTTTAGGTTTGGTTAACGAATTTTAGCTCCAAAGTCTCTCCATAGATTTTAATGAGCGATACCTTAAACGACGCCAAATTAACGCACCTATACAAAAAAAATAGAGGACACAAGATATCATTTTTTTTCGACTTTTCCTGAGTTTTTAAAGTCAAAATTTCGTAAAAAATACCGCACAAAAATCATCATGTTTGCATTTCAATGCTTTATATTTCCCAGACGGTAAGCTGTATTCACAAAGTGTTTGAGCTTAACTTCTAGCTGTTTTAATTATCTTTTTAAAATAGGAGTTTTTTAAAATAAGATACTAGAGCTATGTGAAAAAAAGAAGCGCTACCTCTAAAAAAAGCTTAAAAAAAAAATACCAGACTTCAAAAATTCTTCAAAAAAAAGTTCTGCCATAGAAAAAAAACCATAATTCTTTACAAAATTTTAAATTCCCATATCTATCAGAAAAAGTCGGTTTGGATCCTTGAGGAAAAAAAAAGTTCGATTTTGTCGAGTAGTGTTATATGTTTAATTAAATTAAAATATAATAAACACTAGTAGTGTAATTGGTACTTTACCTAGCAATGCTCCATAAAAATCCGAGTGGCTCCTGAAGGCTTTCTTCCCTTGTACCCCATCCACATTATACGCCAGTACTATTTTTTTCGCTTAAAATGAATTTTAAGTTAACGGGAACTCCAGCTGGCTGTAAAATTGATTTTATTGTTGAAATCTGTAAACAGAAGTATTCAAAAAGAAGGATTCGAAAATGAACAGGTCATATTATTTAGAGTTTTAATTTACTTACATAAATGTCTGTATTGATTTTAACATTCTCCTCCATTTTCTTCAACTGAACAGAATTCATCTCCCCCTTCTCCTTTATAAGCTGTTTTATTAAAATAGTTTGATCAGCTTATATTTTTGCAAGGGCGTTCAATTGATCTGAAAGGAATTTTGGTATTAATTTTGCTAATACAAATATTAATCTTTATTAGTCTTACCACGAACAACGGCATTCTTCTGCTGTAGATTTTCTAAAAGTACATATTTAATGACGATTTATTTGGTTGAATTTCCTCATAAACTAATTCTTCCTGTTCTATCTGTATTCCAGTTTCTTCTAATTCTTTTTCTACCAATTTTGTTCCACTTTTATTTCAGTGCACGACGCTAACTTTTCAAGGTTCGATTCCCTGTCACTCTTTCGGAGTCTACGCAAATGCCTTTTGCTCATCATTTTATTCAAAATATGTAATGTCTTGTCACGTACCTGTTGTTTGGCGTTTAATTTATTAATTCGGAGGGTTATTTCTCACTTTTTAATTAAGTGAGAAGTGGAAAAAAATCAACGCACAAAGCAAACGCGCGGAGAACAAATGTATTTTGTTTGTGTACTTTTTTGTCTCTTGCATTCCACGATTGCAAGTACAGTACAGTAAAGTATCACGAATTACTTACCATTTTGGTGCGAGTTACATGTAGTAGCATCAGTAAAAACTAACTGAGTTCGCACTGTAGTCTAACTCTTTTTCGCGGTTTCTTCATAATTCCACGGTTTTACGGTTATTGGTCGACGTCGAAAACAAAGCGAGGGCGACTTCGTGTCTGTTTTTCTGTTTCGACTGGTCGCTGATCGCTTCCCGCGTAACTAGTTGCAGAACTAGTTGCGCGGTAATCGGCGCGGAGCTAATTCGAGAGATCAAGAAATACCCAAAAATATTAAGTCCGATCTTTTGCCTGAACATAAACTCCTTTGAAACAAAAACACAAACAATATAATATAAATAAAATACAAGACGGTGTTGGACACGTCTCTGGTCACACTGTGTTGTACAGTGCTATCATCGATATTTACTTGAAGCATCGATATGTCAATCCATCGCGTAAAAATCATCTCTAGTTGTTTATAAGGCAGCAGCCACATTCAAAATTTCAAGTTTATAAAACAAAAACTTGGTCTACAAAGCGGACAACTTTTGCTGCATGCTGTGAAGAAGCCGTCCATTGCTAGACGAAACCGTGGCGAGCGAGAAGCAAAAACAATGGGTCCTCCGCAATTAGGGCGCACATTTTTGGGCTTCGACTTGAGCACTCAGAAGGTAAAACGGTAGACACTGCCTACGTTGTATTTTGCGTTGCAGAGGCGTGTTGCTCGACTGCTTCTAATCCGTCTGCTTACGCATGCAGCTTCAAGCAAGCGCGTGTTATTGAGAGAGGTCAGACAGCATAGTGGCACACGAATCTCGTAACGGGCAGTTCTTATCAATGACCCCTAGCCGTTCTCTATAGCTTATCTGTAACCGCAATAATAGAGCTATAAGCGTTTGTATTTTTATGCCCGACGCAGATGTGGCCGGTTAACCACCCAAAGAAGTGGAAAGTCGTACAAAATGACGCAATCTTTGACACTAACTTGCCCTTAGAACCTAGTTAGATTCGATCGTTAGTTTTAAGGTGTGTCCAATGACTCTTTTCAGCTGAAAGCTGTTCTGCTGAACTGCAGCCTGAAAGTCGTTGCCTCGGCTGAGGTCAAATTCGACAGCGACTTGCCGGAGTTTCGAACCACTGGTGGAGCCAGCCCCGGACCCAACAAACATGAGTACTAGACTAGACTCCTAAATATGACCTATACATGACCTATTCGTCAGATTCTTTGTGCAGCCAGTGATGTGGGTGAAGGCAATGGACATTGTCTTGGACCGTTTGGTGATGCAGGAGGCCGATTTAAGCACCGTTGCAGCCATCAGTGGGTCGGGACAGCAGCATGGCTCCTTGTACTGGTCCAGGCACGGCATTTCAGCATTGCAAAATCTTGATCCCGAAAAGTTTCTCCACGCACAAATCGATGACTCGGCATTTGTGGTCAACCGCACGCCCATTTGGATGGATGCGTCCACCACCAAGCAATGCCTGGAGATGGAGACTGCCATTGGGGGGCACACCCAGATGGTTCAACTGACGGGCTCCAAGTGCTACGAACGATTTACGGGCCCTCAGATACGCAAGATCTACCAGCAGCGCACGCATGCCTACGAGGATTCCCAACGAATCTCACTGGTCAGCAGCTTTTTGGCCTCACTCTTTTTGGGAGCTGTGGCACCGATCGACTTCAGCGATGGCTCCGGTATGAACCTACTGGACATCCGCGAAAAAGCCTGGTCCAAGGCCTGTCTGAATGCATGTGCCCCTGACCTAGACGAGCGTCTTGGTCAGGCGGTTAGTGCCAATACGGTCCTTGGCAACGTTTCAGAATATTTTGTGAAGCGCTTCTGCTTTCCGGCCTCATGCACAGTCGTCGCTTGCACAGGAGACAATCCATCGGCCTTGGCAGGAATGCTACTGGACAATGCCTGGTTGAGTGTATCCCTTGGCACTAGCGACACTTTAATGATGAGTTTTGAAAAGCCGCCCATCTGGGAGGAGGGCCATGTGTTGTGTCATCCAACGCAGACGGACGAGTTCATGGGACTCTTATGGTAGGCCGTCCACCACTTATGGATCCAACGACACACTAATGTACATTTTCTCATTCAGTTTTAGAAATGGGTCTTTGGTCCGTGAGGCCATGAACAATGTGGAGGCTGGAGGAAATTGGGTAAAGTTCAACGAGCTGCTTGAGTCGACACCGCGGGGAAACTTTGGCAATATGGCCATGCACTTCAACGACATGGAAATTATTCCCAAGGCAAAGGGCACATTGCGATGGAACAAGGATTGTTTGCACAACTCCCCGGACGCTTCCAAGGGTGTAATTAAGTAAGCCATTGAATATTTAGATTAAGCAGCTGGACATATATTCTAAACATGTGACTTACCAATTCGTTCTGATTGAACAGATTTAGCTCACCTCAAATCGAAATTCGTGCCTTAATCGAGGGCCAAATGCTGCATCATCGAGCTGTTGCCGAAGACATGGGCTTTCAGTTTGGAACAGACACGAAAGTCCTTGCTACTGGCGGAGCGTCCATAAACCAGTCTATTCTGCAAGTTATCGCTGACGTGTTCAACGCGCCCGTCCATATTCAGGTAAACTCGTGTCTCCATTGCCCTTTGCAATGCTGCAATATTATTCAAATTGCCTTTTTTCAGACCGAGAGTGAGGCTGCCCTGATGGGGGCCGCTTACAGAGCATCGTATGCTCTGTATCGGCATGAGCTTGATCAAACGGTGCCTGCCCTCAGCTATCGCGACCATATCCTCAGCCTGACGTCCAACAATCTGCAGCTTGTCTGCGAACCACACAAGGACAGCGAAGCAATTTACGCACCAATGCTGGACCGATACCGCGACATGGCGGGCATCCTGCAGAGCGGAAACCTATGTGCGAACGGAATCCAAGGCCACATTTTGTACTCCAATGCATTCCCGACTTACTCTTTACTTTTATATTCCACCTGACACTAATAAGTAGGACTAAAGTGCAATTAACAAAATTCTGTGATCGAGAATTTATTAATTATTAAAAATGTATGAGAAACCATAACTAATCAATCTCTATACATGGAGCACAGAAGTCTCTGCACACAACTATGCTGGGGTGCGACCTACTCGTCCGATTTGTTCTCCGGGTCATAAGGCTTACTTCTTGCGGCCGCCGCGCTCCTTCACCTGCAAATGCACCGTCATCCCGTTCAGGAGATTGTAGAACGCCATCGAATTGCTGTCTTTGAAGAACATTCCCTGAAAATCGAGGCACATGTATATAATTCAGTCTACCCAAAATACAAAGGCTCAACGCTTACCTCGTAGAAGATTTTCTGCTTGGCCGGCGGCATGCCTGTTTCATCTTGCAGCTTGGCCTTGAGGTTAGCGATCGGGTCAGTGAGTGCCAGTGTTACAGCGATCATCTGTCCGTTTAACTTCCACTCGGACTTATCCGAGTTCGGCACATGAACCTGGATGGTGACGGGGCTCTGCAAGAAAGCGGAAAGGGCATACAATATTAACCATTTTTTCTTGGACCGTCCAGTGGTAACATGAAGCACCAAGATGAGTGTGTGCAAAGTCATTGAGAAGATGCGGCAGATGAAGCTGACCGAAAATGTAAATGGCTTACAAGTTCTTCTGTCTTAGAGTTTTAGACATGTGTCCAAGTAAAAATGGTAAGTAAAACAGACGGTAGCTGACCTTGTGCGTGGCAATGAATTCCGCTTCCGGGATTAGATTGTCCTCGGATCGCAATTTCTTTGTGGGCGGCTCATCCTCCACGGACATAAGATCGACAGGCGGTGCAGGTGAGATTTGCGAGGGTCCTCCAGTGGGCTGCATGTTCATATAGCCTCCGGTGCCAGGGCCAAAGGGAGTTTCTGCAAGAGAAACACGTTTATCCAGGATATTGGGTATTGTATATCATTTACTACATACGCATCATCAGAGGTCGCAGTTGCATCATCATGACCGGATTGGCCTGCGCCTGGGGCTGCTGGTGATGATGGGATGGATGCTGGTGGGTCTGGTGCTGCGGCGTTGATTGGTGCTGCTGCGGCGGATGATGATGGTGCAGATTGTGGTGCGCGTGGTGGCCACCTCCTTGATGGTGCTGACTCTGCCCATGGCTGTGCTGGGGCTTGGAAGACGGCTGCGGCGGAGCTGATAGCGTTGCTTTGTTTCCCACAGGCTTGGGGCCAATCTTCTCCTTTTCCTCATCTGGCAGCAGTCCCTTGACCTTGTGAATTTGATGGATTTGGTCCTCCAGAGTGATGTTTGCACGTGCTGCTCTAGTGGCGGCCTCCACACTGGAAGTGTGGCCGTCCCAGGTAACGCGATCATCCTTTTTGGTCTCTTCTTCGCCAAGTTTTTTTCCAATGACCGTTTCCTCGTCGCCAACACCAAAAATATCGGTACGCCGCTCTGCTAGCTGCTTCAGGCTTGCCTCGATGGCAGTACCAGCAGCAAAGACATTGTCCTGGTTGATTTTCTCGACAGTGTGCTTGTCCCGCTGTTCCACCCATCGCGGATCCAGTAGACCAATGCGCATGTGCTCCGACACCTTGGATGCCGGGATCTTTTCGCCAGTAATTGGAGAAATAAGGTACTCGTCCGTGGGCAAGGGCGCTGCCTTGGGTTGGGTGGCCTTAGGGTCGTACTTCTTGACCACAACCTTGTCGTGGGTCGGCGGCAGCATTGGGGCCACCGTGGGCTGCAGCTTGGCCGCAGGCGTGTCCTCGTCACTCGACGCTTCGTCCATGTCCTGCACCTGAGTATTGTCCCGTTTGGCGCCAACCGGCTGGCTGTACGAAGAAACGTTCTTCATTTGGATGCCGACTCTGTTCTCCATTTGCGAAAGCTTGAGGCCACTCTCCAAATGGCTAGCCACCTGTGAGTCGTCTTCTTCGTCGGACTCGATTTGCATTTCTATGTCTCCCTCCTCTTCCATGAGGCGCTCCTCCATAAGCACTCGGGCACCTACCTCGTCTGGATTTGTAGGCGGAGGAAAGTTGCCGGACTCGAATGGTTGATAATCCACGGTCTCTACAACTACAAAATCATGCCAGTCAATCTGGGCGTATGCCACACGCTCTCTCTCAATTTTTTCCTCTTCTCGACGCCTCTGCGCCTCCTGGTGGCGTTGCCAGTTGGCGCGGTATTTCACCTGCTCCAGTACCTGGTTCATGCTGCTACGCCCGGGGGCGCTCTCTGTGCGAAGCTTTCCGAGCAAATCCTTGGGCGGAATTAGCACTTTCGTATACTGCTCCAACAACTTTGTGAAGTACTGAAAGAGCGAGTGCTGAGGTCTCAGAAAATCAAATTGAAAGTTTCGCTGCTCCCGACTCATCAGATTGGTCAGAAACTGCCGCCCGTTGCGGGCCACAAACTGAGCAGTTAGCTTCACAATGTCTCTGAAAGGAATTCAAATATTAAGTAGGGTGCCATTGATTCTTGGTCGACAGTCACTCACAAGTCCAAAGCCGAAATCGAGGGGGGGTCAGCAATAAACTCAAACTCCTGTGGAGGCTCCTTGGGTACAAATTGCTGCTCCACCACTTGCTTCAAAAGTTCCTGCTGTCGCTGCTGGGCAGCACTAGTGACCGCCAGTTGTTTGACGGCTGTTATCCCGGCATCTGAAATAGGATTCACATAACATAACGCGTCGCAACTGAGTGGTGTCGTTTCTTACCATTTCCCTCTCGAAACTCGTTCACCTTGTGCCTATAGTAGGCGTGATAGGGATCTCCACCGTTCAAAAAGTTGAACTTTGGGTTGCCCAGCTCGTTTTGCCGAATGCGTGCCTCAAACTCGGGTCCATTGCGTGCCACAAAGCTTGCGGTCTTGTCAACGATATCTAATTTTTAAACTTTACTTACTGAGTATGTGGAAAACAAATTATACTGGCAATAACGTCAAAATATGTATGTATACTAAGACAAGTATAAATGGATAAAAAGGGTATTGCATTGTATTGTTTTGTAAAGGATGCTTCTAACTTCTGGTGGCGGATATATAATGCCAATAATTGGTCCGGACATTGGCTTCGATTGGTCATTTCCGAACTGCTCGTCGGTGGCTTCTGCATCTAGAGTTGGCATTGCAATTGGAAACTCTTTATTTTATTGATGAATTGATTAATTTGATTTGTTTTCAATTTATTTTGTACGTTTGTTTGGATGAAAATATGCTGCTTTTCGTGGAGATTAGAGATGGAAAATGGTCGATAGAAATCTGTTTTGAAACCATCATTTTCTCTATCGATGTTAGTCATATATATATCGCTAGCGTCCGAGTGTGACCAGGTGTACACACACTACGGTTATACTGGAGTGCAGTCAGCTGTGTTTTGATTAAAAATTAATACTGTTGACAATTCAAATTCAGAAAAGTAATGTAGTGGGTCGCACAGTTTAAACGGGGCTGACAAGACAGTGATGGACCAAATAAGTTGTCCAATGCAGAAGTGTGGAAGAATATTCCTCTAAAATACTATTAGGTGACCTTCGGAAGGAAGAATCAAGAAAGTTTGGAGTTGTTTCACAAGATAATTCGAGCCGATTCAGATGAAAGAACAGCCAAATCAATTGACTAAAAGGTTCAAATTGATTTCCTGGTCATGGCGTCAATTTGTTGGAGTGCGCGTGGGATAATTGTATTTTGTTATCTTCAAAAAGGTAGAATGGAGTAGCTTAACTCGCACTATAAACAGGAGCTATAATAATGTTCTAGAAAAAGTGTAGCGAACTAAAGGGATAATAGTTTTCACAAATTTTCTGGCTTTTCGTTGGTAGGCAGAGTACTTTTGGTATTACCCTCTTAAACATTATGGGTTATACATTATATACATATTTGCATATGTATGTATATAATAAACTGTTTGACCAAAAATTTATTAGATCGGATAGATACTTTTGTGCTACGAGTATACTAATGCTGGCAGCTGGGCAGCTGTAAGGGTGTTTATTCCGGATAGCTCTATCCAATTTGAACAATTTTCTACTAAGTGCCCTAGCGGGTGCCTTACAGTCGCAAGGCAAGTCGACTTTGTATTGCCGAGAGAGAATTCGCTCGCAGTCTGATTATGACGTTCATTGTGCCTGATAAATGATCGGCTCAGCGGTTCGAGCTTGTGGAAATTTTCATGTATTCAGTAGTATATGAGCCGCTCTCAACCGTTGACGTCTCAATCAAATGATCGGAATAGCTCTGAGTAGCTTCTTTTGAAACGCAGTTCGGGATACTTCCTTATCAGTCATTTGCTACGTGACTTATTACATGTACTTAATTATTATTATTAATTAAATTAAATTTATGTGCTGAACCGTGTTTTTGTAGGCGCATCTTGTGAATCACATAAAAACACATTTTTATTGTTTGAGGCATCCATTCTCAAACAAAGAACAGTGAAATGTGTCTAAACATCTACCTTTGCATGCTGACGATCGTAATAGGAACGTCAGTATCTTCATTGACTAATCGGCTGGAGCTTCCACATCGTAAGTCACAGAACTTGAGAAATATTTTCTGGCACCCAGACATCTAGAATTTTTTAATGTGTATTATTGGAACTTTGATTTGGTATTAGAACTACTATAGTTGTTTAAAAATATTAAAATTATATTGATTTACTTTTAATTCGTATAATCAATTTATACTACTTATAATGTAATATAAAAAAACAGACACAAGGGACTTCGACCCTATTTGTGTAAATACTAAGTATATTCGTATTTTGTCTTTCTTTAAAGACTTCTGTGACGCAGATCATGAATATATAAAAATATATAAAAAATATCGACTAGCCGATGTTCGTCAAGCGGCGTTGATTCGCAGTTCAAATTTCCCATAGACGAAGGACAATATTTATTGTCAATATGTATTCATGCATATCAATTCAACTGATAATGGGCGAATTCTCTTCGTTCGGATCATTTTGTTAAAATAAGATCTAACCCTGTTCCACTTGAAGCAGATTCACAGATGAGAATGAAAGCGGCTTTCCTGAGATGTTACATTTGACATGAGAGTGTGGACTGAAAATGTGCGATCAGTTGGAATACTTTATCTACATACATATGTATGTATGTATGTATGTACATACAAGAAGGAATTTGCGGTCTTAAAGCCGTACAATGCCATAGACAAATTTAAATACATTTTTTAAATGTCCACTTAATAAAAGGACTGACCTAGTGGAAAACTCTCAAGACGTTGTTCCGAAAAGTTAAGACGCCTTTGTGTATTAAGAATTTTCTTTTTTTTTATTGTCTTATTAACATTCCATAATATCTACGCACTTTCCGCGTGACGAGAAAGAGAAAGTCTGCATCATTCTATCATCCTCGTAGCTACTTAGGAAAACTGGTGCATGGCTGCAAATTATAATTTAGTTCGAAATGTCTGGTACAGCAAGAAAAATACAGGAAACCACTAAAATTTGTTGTCAGATCTTGTTAATTGGGTCCCCAAAATGCATGTGGCATTAGATGTACATATGTATACTCAGCATACCCACGTATATATGTATGTAGTCGAGCCCGTTATGGAGTCCGAAACGTCTGGTTTTAATGCATATCTAAATATGTATATACATATATGATACAGGCTTAATGTGATTTAACTCAATAACATGAGGAATATATTATTTTATATTGTATTTATGTTTGATTTAAAATTTTTTTTAGCACGACAAGCTTTAAGTCTGGATGTACAAGCGCAATTAGACGGGCTTTCATCAGAAAAATGGCAAGAGTTCGTAAGCTCTGGCCTGGACTCGATCAACAGACAGAAACGGTTCGTAAAAGTGCATTCGAAAATACAAAAGCATTTCAGAATAACCTCGGAAGATTTAATCACGCCAGAATCGCTATCACATACATATGTACATTTGTACATGTGTATGTATGTAACTGTCATTAAATAAGAGGAAGAAAGGAGAACTCAGTTTCCAAAAATAATCCAACTAATATAAGACCAAAATCCATTTCCGTTTTCCCGTCCGCCTGTTTATTTTCAAGCTGGTACCTCACCTTTGTAGTTATCTCTTTAGTTATGTCCTGCAAGTGTGTAATAAATAACAAATACGAGTCAATTCTCGACGTGTCATTTCAGACTGGAGGAAAATCTTCTCAGCTCAAAAATTACCGTCCAAAACGGAAGTCTCTCGCATGTGCAACTACTGGATACATTGCCCAACAGGGCGTCAAAGGAAGACAGTGAAATTGCCCTAAAGATTCTCAAGTCTAGCCTCTTCGTCTATAACACCCAGTGCCTGCCCCATGCCATTGAAGGGGACGAGTGTCGAGCGTATCTGGAAAACAAGCCCCTGCCTGAGGGCAGCGTTCTTCGATCCGAATGCCTTATGCTGCTGAAAAGCAAGAGGGATGGTCATCATGCCTTCAGGAGACTGCTTGACCACCACTACAAGAACGGATTCTATGAGGCACGTTTTGGAAGTTGGCGTCGACTAGCAATGACTTCACTTATATCCGTTGATGATTCCAGATTTTTACAGAGGATCGCCTGCCTACTGCATGGTCAATTAGTATGGGGCTTTATGAGCCCGACAACATTCAGAAGGCCGAACTGGCGCGTGACCACGAAAATGGAAACCTTAATTTGGGAATCGCGCAGTGGGCCCAGTTTTTGGAACACGATCTCAGCAAGCCCGTCTCACAATCGATGAGTAAGTTAAAATCCAGGACCGATTGGCGTTTGGCATAGATGGATGCTGAACTTCATAGTCTAGTTCCACAAAGGAGACTACGACTCTGAGTTTCAGCATCATCTAAAGAGTATTTCATTAAAAGATTTCTGTTTTCGCAGGCAATGGATCTCCGATAGAGTGCTGTAACCAGGATCAGAACAAGCTTCAACCAAGGCACTACCATCCGGCCTGTGCGCCAATAACATCCGAGGCCAGCGGGAAGTACGGCAGGGCAAACTGTCTCAACTATGTCAGGAGCGCCCTCGCGGTCGGCGGTTGCACCTTTGGCGGCGCTGAGCAGGTGCGTAAAATTTGATTCTTGGCTTGCATGTATGATTGATGTGCTGATTCGTATCCGCCAATAGCTCAACCAGGCCACAGGATACTTGGATTTGTCCCAACTATATGGCTTCACGCCTGATGACGAGAGGAAGATGAGAACATTCGTTCGCGGAACCCTGAAGTCAACATCGAACGGGGCACACCTAAATGACCTTCTACCGACGACCGCCGATACGGACGACAAAGGACACTCGTTCTGTGCGTGGGGGGCTAGTGCAAATGCAACATGTTTTGTGGCAGGCGACTCGCGGGTTAACAGCAGTCCCTACTCCATATTGGTTTACACAATCTTCATGCGAAACCACAACCGCCTTACCGCCGAGCTGATGAAGCGATATCCCAACTGGACCGATGAGCAGCTTTTCCAGTCGGCCAAGGCGGTAAATGTGGATATCTATAGGCGCGTGATCATGAGGGAGTGGCTGCCGGAAGTGCTCGGATCGCAACTGGCCGCAGAGGTACTAGCCACCCGTGAACCAATCAGTCGCCAAAGCGCTCCCGAGATATCCAACGAGTTCGGCGTGGCTGCCAGCCGCTTCTATTTCTCAATGCTACCCAGTGAGCTCCACAACCTGGCCAAAAATGGCGACGATGACTATGTTCGAAAGTAAGTTTCTTCAGTATATCACTGACTGCTTTACATTTGTACTTATGTGTCATTAATTTCCAGCCAAGTGCTGCCCTCTACTGACATTTTTGTGCTGAAGGACGAAATTTTCAGGCCCCGACTTTCGTACACGGCGAAAAAGCTAGACGAAATCCTGCATAGTGTGCTCAATCAGCGTGCCATGAAAATGGATTCCTCCTACGCGGGTGGTGTAAGTTATAACACACATCAATCGATTCAAAGCTCTAAGGCCTTGTCGCTTGTCGCCCTTCCAGGTCGTTTGGCACGAGAACACGAAACCAACCCATGCTGATATTCTAGCGTTCGATGTTCAGCGAGGCAGGGACCACGGCCTCCAGCCCTATTATAAGTACTTGGAAGTGTGCAGCCAGGTTGGACGAGTGACTGGATGGAGTGATTTCGAACAACTTATACCCAAAAATGTAGGCATAGTTTTAGTATTTGCATGAGGATATCGTCATCGCACTTACATACAAACAAATTGCTATCCTTCCTACAGTCAAATCTACATGAATAATTGTTGTCCATTGAAAGGTTTTGGATAAGCTGAAAAACATCTATGCCAATTGGACTGATGTGGACCTAATTGTGGGCGGTATCGCAGAACGAACTGTGAACGGAACTGTCGGTGCCACCTTTGGCTGCATCCTTTGTAGGCTATCGTACAATATAATACCCTGTTCGTATATGTTCTGTCCTTTAATCCATGTGTTCATTTCAGCCGAGCAATTTGCGAAGGTGCACCAGCGACATCTGCAAGAGCCAGATCTCCCGGCCTGGGCCGCCTCGTTGCTGGAGGAGTATCGGTACATGAACGGAAGCAAGCTCTTGTGCCTGAACTCAGAGTTGAGGGCTACGCCACAGAATATCTTTCAGTTGCCTTCCGCAAGGTCAGTGTATGTCGGTGGTGACGTCGCGCAGGCGCTTCTCCTGGTGCTCACAACAACAGAAACAACATTTGTCACCTGTTGGCTGAGCTGAGTCATAGCTGCAATGCGTGTACTTTGATTTAAATTGATATCTACCCGCAGTAATCACCTACCAATTACCTAATCATTGATTTTGTTCCCTTCTTCACAGCAATCTACTGATCGATTGCGACAATGTGGTCTAGCGGACGACGAAGAAAGAACCGGGCCCGAACACCAAGAAGATTTTACAATTGGCTTCCAAGCTCACATAATTTCTAAATAGTTTGATACTGATCGAGGACGCATACTCTTCCCGATGGCAAGGTTTTACCCTTGTTGCATATATATTTTAAATCCTAGCTGACAAAGGATCAATATCTTCCATCTAAAGTCACATTTCCATATGAGCGAATGTTCATTTTTTTGTGGTTTGTTTTGAAACAATAGTAAAAATATCCAAATGTAAAGAAAATGTAAGATCTCGGTCATAAAAGAGTCGTCACATGCCAGCAAGTGTCGTGATGGACGTGATGGAAAATTCGCACTCAGAGACACTTTTGTGGAATGGAAGATATCTTTTTTACTAATCAATTAAAATAAGTTTATCTGTATGCATGGCAAATATATTAGTACGAGTGTACCACGCTCTATGTTATCCAGACGGGGTGGGGTGCAGACCTTTCATTCTGTTTGCAGATATGCTAAAAATGTTTAAAGGAATTCGTAGCATTGATATCTAGCGCCGGCACCTGCTTATCTAACACTGACTCGTTGATTGGGTGTTTTGGGTTTCATGGGCGACTGCTGACCGTTTGATGCGATCACCTTGTGCGGCCGATACGGGGGCGCTCTGTGGTTCTTATTTCTGTTATTTTTCAGCAAGAACGGTCGGAGCGGAGCTGATAAGATTGCCAATAGTTCCAATGTGTATCAAGCGATACACAGTACAATCGCAGCACAGGCGACCGCAGAGATAAAACGAACTTTTGCTTTTGCTTTTGCCATTGCCATTGCTGGTCTCGAATCTCGAACATACACACAACTGAAGCAATTTCAGGCAATCAATTAATAGACGGGACGGTGTGCGTGGAGAGCCAGCCAGCTGATACCACGCCGACGCGTTGGTGTGTGGGCCCTGCCATAACCAGTTAGTTTGAGTTCGAATTTGATTCGCTGCGGGTCGAGAGTGGAAGTTTTGGCCAGGAGCATCGTAGGAAATCGTGTGAAGCCACAAGGTAACCTAACCAATCGCTCGTCCCGCGTGCCAGTATTCGTATCTTGACTCGTAAATCAAGATCCAGAATATGGGCCAAAGTCTGCTCTCCCCAGCAAACCCCTTTGGCGATACCATTGTTTATTTAGTATCTTGAGGATCTGATGTCATGCCAGCAGAAGTAATAAATCTGCAAAAGCTTTCACTAATTGCACGATAATCACAAACAAAATAATGACTATTTACTACTCATATTCTTCGATTCGGGTCTTTATGTAATGGGCTTTCATTAAAGATTGCTTCATGTGCCAGGAATTTCCTGGCGAGTGTGAGTGTGATAGCTGGAATTGTACAACAATCCAGCAAGGTGCAAAGCCAGTCGAAAAGTGGTGCTCAGTTTCTCTTATCTAATCGGAGCAGGCAGCCTACTCTGTCGTATGTCGTATATAGGCCCAGGCCTCAATTGAACCATATGAATCTATCCTATCCACATATGTACATACATATGTACATATGTGTATGTATTCATGTATGGTTTATATAAATAAGAATGCAAGAGAACGATCTTTCACTTACAATAGTTTCTCTTAACGCTTTGATTTCGCTTGTTGTGCCGCACGTAGGCAAAATGGTCAAAGCAGGCTACAGAACCTTGAAATATTTCCGGCCCATATCAGTTACGAATGGGTAAATATCCAGAGAGATAGGCCAGCAATTATTATAATATACAATAATAGAGAATAGATAAGTGGCTGACTCAGTCGGAACATTATTTGGTCCCTGCAATGCCACTCTCACCTGTGCACTGCATTGGACTCTACATTCTGTTGCATTTTCTGCAGGATGCCACGTAACGGCTATGAGAATGGAGTCCCATCCAAAGACCTGGCGAACGGTGACTATGATGAGATAAAGCCTACATATGCATTGGAGCACTTAGCCACTTTCAAGCTGAAAAATGAGGCGGAAACAAAGCAGCCAAAGGAGAAGATCAAACTGCTTATTGAACTGGACAAGACGGGGGGCATTTGGCCTCACAAGATGTTTATGAGCTTCAACGGCCAGTGGCTGGTGATGCTGGACAACGAAATGAGGGAGATTGAGAACTTCCCCGGCAGCCTGATCACGGAGCCCACCGCGTTTATTAGCGAGGATCCGCAGGAGGCCTACAACAACATCTTGATATTTTCGGTTCCTGGTATCTCGCTGGGCAATACCGAGATGCACATCTTCCAGGTGAGCACTGGAATCCCCTAATATATTTCCATGCTACATACTCCACATCTGCTGTAGGTGGCCGATGTGAGCTCTGTGAACTTGGTGGAAGATCTGCGAACGGTAAGCATAACACTCAGGCACACTGACAGTCGAAATTTTCTTGAAACGCTGCATTCCTATGGCTGTTGTAGCTGAGCAAGGGTACGCCCGTCACGATCGACCGGAACAAAACACCCATTCGCTTGCCCAAGCCCGATCGACCCGGTAACCAGCAACCCAAGGACCAGTACGGGATTGCGGCGGCCGTGGCCGGAATTGCTGCCGAGAAGAATGCGCTGGATCGCGGGCAAACCGAACGGGATGTCCAGGTGATTAACCACTGTTTTGAGGACATCGAGCGGTTCATGGCGAGGCTCCACTACGCGGCCGAGGCTCTGAACGAGCTCAAGTTGCGCAAGGAGCAGCACAATCCTCACGGAGAAGGTCTGCTCGTACTGCGGTCGCGTCCACCCATTGAGAGCGAGTTCCACGACATCCTGGCCAAAGTAAAACTAGCTCTTATCTACTCTGTCAAGCTGCAAAACCACTTCACAAAGAGCTCGGATCCGATCCACAACGTTTTCATTTCGCTGCAAACCATTGTGACTGTCTGCAACGACATCTACTTAGACGCCAAGCTGCCGGAAGGGGTCGTTAATCCGCTGCTGCGACGCGAAACCATTACCTTCCTCAGCGGAACGCTGGACTCAAACGAGAAGCAGCTGTGGCACAGTCTGGGACCCAACTGGACGGTGCCGAAAGATCAATTCAAGGACCACAAGAGTTCGTATCACCCTATTTTCTACGACGACTGGTCTCCGGACTGGGTTGTGGACGAAGAGGTGCAGTACCTTGCGCCCGCACTAAAGAAAACATCAACGCCCTCACCGATACCACTGCCTCCGAGTCCGGGCGGTAATCGCACCTGGCTGAATCGGTTGGAGAGCCGCAATGTCAAGATCGCGGAGGTGGCCTACAACAAGTCGGCTACCAACGACAAGGAGCTGAAAGTAACGAAGGGCGAATACTTGGAGGTATGCAATTCCAGTCCTCTCAGCTTCACCCCCGTCTATGGTAGTCAGTCAACGTAAACTCCTGCAACTCCCTCTCCATTCGCAGATAATTGACGACTCCCGCAATTGGTGGAAGGCGCGCAACTCCTACGGAAATATTGGATACGTGCCTAACACCGTGCTGACGCCGTATAACTTTGAGCACGGTGGTGTTTCCAACGGCCGCGACACGGAGTCATTGGCTTCAATGTCGCTGCAGGAGAACGGCGAGTCCAGTGAAGCCAACAATCCTCTGTACCGCAACACCATGACCTTATATGCGGCACCAACAGACCTGGAGCAACAGCAGCCAGTGGGCGGCGTGAAGGTCATGCCGCGATCGTACTCCATGCCCAATGTTCCCATTCCCCCACCAATGCCGCCGGCGGGCGAAAGCCAGCCAACAACTCCAAGTGGCACCCTCAAGCGCAACATGGCCGCGGCAGGAGCCCTGGCAGGTAAGTCCTTATATCCATTTCATGCTCGTAGCATTTACTTATAGTACGAGTATGTGGCTTCTGTCTCGCCTCACAGCGATGCGTGCGCGCAACGACTGCGATGCTGTGGATGATTCCTTCATTTTGCAGGACGATGTGAACGACGAACTGCGCCTCATGCTGCAGCAGCGGCAGAGGCGTAAGGACCTCGAAATCCTGAAGACGCCTGAAATATTCATTACCCAGCACTCCAAGCCCAGGGAGGTGGAGGAATGGCTGCGAGGCAAGGGCTTCTCCGACAACATAATCAAGCGTCTGCACTCCCTCAGCGGCGAGGAGATCTTCGCCCTCTCTCCGCACACCATCGAAAGCTACTTCGGGCAGCGGGAGAGTCGTCGTTTGATATCCCAGATCGTGCTGCAAAAGAACTTCTGCGAGGTGAGCATGGTAGCCCTCTCTCTCTCTCTCTGAGCCCGTCTTATTCAGTATTCTTCTCTGCCATTGCAGTACAAAACCATCCGCTCGTCAGAGCTATCCGCCAAGCTGGCTCGCGCTCGTCAAAAGGCTGACCAATCCAACGGCAATGGCAACGGCAACGGCAACCCCAACGAAGTTTTCTAATTACATATTTTGATTGGAATAGCCTTGGTGCACAGCGAACTGGACCGGTGCTCAGATGCGCTCTGGTTGTGCCATTTATTTATTTATGCATAGCAATCTTTCATCTATTTTAAAGTTTAAACAATCAATGTTTACTAAAAGCCATTAAAATATTTTAGAACCAAATGCATGAAAACTATCCTTGAGGGCCGATTAGCGCCTAGTTCTCAGAGAAACAGATAAAATAATCGAAATTCGACATAAATCATATTTCAGATATGTACATACATATATTCTGACTGAGTGCCGGGTATAAGAGTAGAGTCGCGGCAACTGCTGCGACTCACAACGTTCCCTCTCGTTGGATTTTATGAAATTGCATATAACAGACGAAGAAGCATTTGTTTGATGATACATATGTTTATATGTATATGTTTAATAGTAGCCATCAGGCTGTGAATACTTGGTTACCGGATACTAAGGTATATAGAGCTACTAACTTGTCTGTGGATACTTTTGTGACATCTAACCTAATGTTTCCTGCCGCTCCCAAAAATATAACTAGCCTAGTTTTTTTTGAAATATCTCGGAGAATTCGAGAGCTCATATTATTTACAGGTAACATAAACAAACGACAATTTAATTTTTAAATTAAAGATGGTGCCTGCTTATAGTGTAATCGAAAAATTCCGTTGATCTCTGATTTCATATTGGTAATTCAGTTTCTACTAATTTCATTTCGAAAGGTAATAACTTCCTTGGGCTGTTAAAACGGATGTTTTGAGTTAACCAAACTAGTCAACTAAATATAAAAAAAGTGTCCAGTCTTCGCTTATTACATTTGATTTGGACCGAAGTGCTGCTTACTGAGTGCGATGCTCCTCGTGCGAGCAGTTTGTCATTCATCTAACAACGCAAAAAGATACGCTCACTGATCACTGATTCATTTGGGAATGGGTTAAATCGCATGTTTCAAGGCTCGTCCGGTCGCCAGAACACATGGAGGTACGATTGTGTGTAGGTATCTTAATTGTAAAGTCACCATTTGGCATGTCAAGAAAGAGAGAGTTATTCGAGTTTGTCCAGTTGCAGCCGCTGTTCAATTGTTTTGTGGTACGAGTATCTGTAGTAGTAGGCTTGCCAATTATCACGAATTAATTTGGTAATTACGCGCTTTTTGCCCAAATTCATTTGCAGCGTGCAATCCGGTCCACAGGTTATTCAGGGTTTAATAAATGATCAAATTGATTCAATTACTCTCAAATTTATTGTTACCAGCGGAAACAAGTTTTGAGTGCTTTACAAGTTTTCTTACCCAACGTTTCGATGCCAAATATGTCTTTAGTAATTGCTTGCTTTTGACAAGACTTTTAAAAGAGACACGGTAAACAGTACTTTGCATCCCATCTGGGACATGCTGACCATTTCCAATGTGAATAAGCACCAACGGCAACGGCACAATCGATATATGCAGCCGCACACATCCGCATGAGCTCCTGGTTGTCGCTGACTTTCAGATCTGCAAGAACCACCTTGGCACCTTTTTTTTACTTTCTTGAACGGAAAATTCGGTTTCTTTTAGAGTTTCACAGCCAGACTTGCGAAGAATATTTAAAACGAATATGCACATACGAGTAGTAGGGATGGAATACAAGAAACAACGGGCTAACATGGAAAATCGTTTATTCAAATTCGAATTCATCGACTTCCATCGCGTTGATTTCCATCTGCTCTTCCAATAGACCGATCTGATCAGACACCGTAATGAAAAAAACGTATTTTTCCACGAAATGTGGTGTCCAGGTTATTGTCGATGTAATTGGATTGAAAAGTTCCAAGCGATGTACATTAGGCCCGAGGACGGTCCACATTTTTAATTAATGAAAACAATTAGCCATAACGACGGTCACGCAGAGCCAGCAGCAACAAGAGGTTTTGTAATGTTTTCGAAAGAAAATCTCCCTAGGTCACAGCTGGCGTCCCGTCCCATACGATGAGTCGCGTTACAAAAGTTTGCACTTAAAAAGGTCAGAGGCTCGCATGAGTGCTCCTGTCTATGTGTTCGTGTGTCTGCTTGGCAATACTTACAACCAATGGCGCTAAGCACACCGAGAAAGACATCGCTATGCGAATCCTAGCCAAAAACGACAACTGTCCGACATAAATTACATAAAGCATAAAACAGTTTTTTCAATACCGCGGTCTGGGGCTCACTACATTGTATGTTCAAACTGGAGCAGGGCAAAAAGTAAGCAAGCTTTTTGATTTACACACTGGTTCCCGTACTCGAAGCCACAGGTGAGCCGGTGCTCCACTCCGCCGCAGTGCCTGCTCTCGACTATGTCCAGGCCCAAACGGTGAATACGGTGAGGCTAACGCAAGCGCAGTTCGCCGCCGCCGCAGCCGCTGAAGCTGCTGGCGCCGACGCTGCTGCTGCTGTTGCTGCTGTGGATTCGGATTCGATATAAAAGGCCCAAAACCATCAGCAGCGCAGTTAGTTCGCCTTGGGCCTTGCCACAGTTAACCAAGCAAGCAAGCAACCAACCAACCAACCAAAGAACCGATCTGGTTCACCGCCACAAGCCATCCTCCACGTCCAGTCAACGGATTACCACTAGGCTCCACTACTGTTGGGCAGGTGGCAGGTGTGCATAAGTGCATAAGTATAACATAACTGTGACGAGAGGCAGCTGCTAATTAATGTGTGAATTGTATCCGAGCCAATAGTAATTGAGGAAAACCAACATAATCTGTAAAAGTCTGCTCTGCTCTGCTCTGCTCACCTTACCGTGGAATTCGCGGTTGCGCACTTCAAACTTGTGAATTGTAAAAACAGTGTTCAAATATATCTGAAGGAATATGCTTGGGCTCGAACGATAAAGTGGCAAGCGATACAAGTGAAAGAACGCAAAACTTAATCTTATAAAACAACCCGTTTAGTAACTGACTGTAAAAAGGATAAAAACAAATCCCATGGTGAGTGCGATTAAAACGAATTATGGAGTGCAGTGCCAAAATGAACAAGTGGAAAAGTTACAGCCAAATATGTACATACATAATATATATTATAATATATACATATAATATATATATATATAATATATATTACATATATTCAAACATTAGACAAATAAATTTTAAATCAGTTCTTATATGTGTACATATTTATATGTATATATGTACATATATGTATGTAGAACCCTTTGAAAGCCCGAAAACTCGAATCAAATCGGTTGGAAGTAAATGTCAATAGCACTCATAGACTTTGAATCATTTAGACCAGTTGCTTGCTTAGACGTTCACTGTCTGGTCTGTAAGCCGTTTTTGGGTTATTTGGTTCAATTGGTTGTTGCATCTGTCGATATGCCACACGGCTGTACATATATACATATGTACACACTTGTACGAGTATGTCTGCATGTATTTAAATGTCCGCATTAAGTTCACGTACTCGTATTTTGTAGCCACACGAAAAGGAACTCTTTAAAACGAATTAGGTTGAGAGGTGTTTTGTTAATTGTTGTCCCTAAATCAGATAATTATCATGCTGTACAGTCCCACAATGTGCTGCAGAGACCGGTTTCTTCGCTAGCAGTTGCTCATTTAAATATAAATTACGGTTAAATGTTGCTTGAAAATCCACTCCAACGTTACCAGTAAACAACTATTGCCACCGGTGTCAAACAATTGCGTTGAAAGTTACCAATCTTTTTATTAGACCTAACTATTTTTTTTGATATTCCATTTGATATTCCAAGCGAGTGACCTTCACGTTTCCGTTACTGGGCTATCGACAAAGCCTTTCAATCCCATAAAGTCACATCGTTCGCCTCAGTCCAGCCCCTTCCCCCAATAACAAACACTCTGAAGTAACTCAGAGCAGCGGCTCGTTCCCAAAAAATGCCGTCTGTTGGTCACGCCCATCATTCAGAGTCTGTGGCGACGACTTCAGTACTGGAGCATTGTTTAAATAAGTGCACAGAGACATCGACATATGCGATTGATTTATTCGACATTTTCAAATTGGACAGACCTTGTTTTATTCTTTTAATCTGTTTTCGTCTGATTGTGCCGTAGACGGTACACCTACATATGTATGTAGTTTCCCATGGGTTTTACTTTCTCTCTCAATCGGAATCTTAAGCCTGTTATGCAAACCCGTGCCAACATTAATGTAAAAGTTAATACATAAATCTGAATGTGTATACGAGTATATGTACATATGTATGTATGTATGCGCTTGTCCACACTTTGACGACTTGCCATTCACTTGGCTTTAACATTAATTTCTGGTGTTGCCTTTTAATTGAAAAACCCAGAGAAGGAAGCCACGAACGGTCTTTGGACTACAAGTATGTAAATTATGTTCGTATACATAATATTCAAACACTAAAGCCAATGTATGACATATCCGTGTTTCTTTGTTGATCCCATGCAATCACACATATGTATGTACATATTAATAATTAATAATAATTATTTAATTATTAATTAATATGATCCATGGAAGTTCAGTTTTGGGAATCAGCGTCATGCAGAGATCACCTAAAGTTAGTAAATTGGATCCAGCATAAGGTACTGTACTGCTGGAGTCTATTGCCTTTCCACAACTATGTAATTGGAAAAGAAGGGAGAAGGTTGTGAGAGGCGCTGGCGATACAGTCGAAAAATGCGAAAGCGAACATGTGGCTAACTTCGAAAATGACTAAATACTCGCTTAAATACTTTAAAATATTTTGAGAAATGGCATGCCGCATTAGCCAGGGTGTTAACTGGCAATTTCACATCAAGAGAAGTGGGCGTACAAACGAACTGGATAATCGTAACCGTAGCACGGACAGCACATGGTATAGGACTGGTTGCAAATCAAAGGCGTTGCAAGAAATTGAATTGCATTGCACTGCTCACGCCAAACAGGCCAGACAGACTGGCGCGTGAGCTGTGCACAGGCCAGGTGCGAGGGCGGGTGCTTTGTGTTCAAGAACCACGCCACGAGCGCAACCAATTAATGAATAACTTTAACTAATAAAATAATTTCATCATTAATTAAATTAAGCGTGTGTGGAATGTAGTTGGTGGCTGGCTACTGGCTTTTATCACATTTGCCATTTGTCTTACATCGGTTCACAAATCTTGAAATTAAATTGACTAGAAATTAATTGAATTTAAAAAAATGTATTAGAGGATACGTAATTTAAGAAATCCTCTTTCTGTTTAATATTAAATTTTCGCACGCAAGACACTTTTACATACATATGTATGTATATATAAAAATATATAAATATATTTTCGATATTCGTCATTCGTTCACAAATCGAAAACAAATTCAGATCGCGATAATCTCTTTGCTTTATTCAGGCCGAGCGGCAGTTAGCGAACTCCAAACACGAACCGAACTAACTGCAAGCTGAAGAAAGCGAATGACGCCTCGAGTCCAACCTGTTTGAGAGTTTCACTTTCAGTACTGTTTATCGTATGGATTCAGTGTCAAAGTCAAGGTCTTCACTATACCCCACATGCTTGTTGGCCAAAGCAAAGTCTGCAAAACGGTCAACGGCTATTGTCGGTAACAACATTATCCGTCCATAATTGGTCTCAATTACAACTTCACTTAGTCGGAACCCGTTGGTGGCGCCTGATTCATGAGACGTTCGTGGCGTCATCGACACGATCTGCTAAAGACATTTAAATGCAACTTGATCCATTTCATAACTAGCTTTGCTTGCCACAAATCGCTCAGACGATTGATAATCCGGGGATTAACTGGAAGGGAATTCGGGAAGGGAATTGCCAAGAAATTCGATAAAAGTGACCCGACATTGCTACATCATTCCGCATCCTACCAACGGAAAATCCGCCAACGTGATTTCTTGTCTCGCGTGCCCATGTGTTTTCTTCGCTTGCTTCCGTTATACATCTCTACATGCCCCTCCTGCGTGTTGGCTCTGCTCTGGTTGGCATTGTCACTGCCGTCGTGCTAACCGGACGCCACAATTGCGCGAAGACAGGCCATCATAATTACCTCAAATGTAATTGCACGAAACAATTGAAGTGAAGTGAAGTGAACTGAGGAGCAGTGTGCATTGGTCTTACCGCAGGTGCATGTTTCTGCTTACACTTTTACAATACACTTTTTGATAGTTATTATTCAAAACAAAGCAAAAATTGTAAGCCATCCGATTCCGTCGGAGGTGATCGTAACAGAAGATCGCGAATATGTAAGTGAAGTAGAAACAAAGATAACAAACAATACGGCCAGCCACACACCCAACCAAATCTTACTCCACTCCAAAAACTTAGAAACTTGCGTAGGGTTCAAGTACACAAGAGATCCAAAGCGTAATTCGAAACAAAATTACATATTTTGCAAAAGACTTTAAACTATGAAAAACTTAAACTTTAACAAATGAAAAAACGAGAAGGAACGCTTCTTTGGACGCGACTCTACTTTTTTACCCGTACTCAGTCAGTAAATTTGTTAGCTAATTACACTAGTCAACACGATTTTTCCTCAAGGAACAAACGAACTTTTCTTAAAGTGGGACTAGAATGGTTGTGTACAGGCAGCGAAGAGCGGCCGCCCCAACCAACCGCGGGAAACGCAGAAAAGATAAGAAACAGCTAGAGGACCAACACTGTATCAGCCCCAGAAAAAACATGAAATGCAAAATTATGATTTGTGGGTATTTTTTACGAATTCAGAAAAGTCGAAAATACTGTGCGGATGGTGCGGGCGCGAAGTATCGCTGTAAAATTTAGCTCCAAAGTCTCTCCATAGTTTTAACAGCGATACCTTAAACGCGCCATACGCCCTCCGCCCGCCCCCGCCCCCAGCACTGAATCCAAGTGCCAACCCACCAAAAAAATCCAGCAAACATAAAAAAGTCCCTGAAAAAAACCATAATCTAAAAAATTTAAAGCCCCATATCTATCAGAAAAGTCGGTTTGGATCCTTGAGGAAAAAAAAGTTCGGTTTGTCGAGTAGTGTAATTTATGTAGAATTTAAACAAAATTTTAAATTTTTTTTGCTTCATCTGTTATCTACATTTACAATTTACATTTACGATTCCACATCTAAAATGTAGATTCTACATACATACATCTTCTCCGCAAAGGTGGCGCATTGCACAGGGAAGAGTGCGTGCGAGCGAGAAAGAGAATGATAGCGTCATCAGCGCTGGAGGAGGTGGAGAAGCAACTGAAATTTCTGATTCATTTCTTTATTCTGGGTATAATAATGACCCGTTCTAATTCAGATTCAGCAATCTGGTAGATATGGGAATTCTCTACGACACTACGCTTTTACTTTTCTGGTATCTTCAAAATTGTGGCTGCCACAGATTTTCGTCCATTGTGGGGCACTTGTAGCAGTGTGATATCACATGAGTCTGGAAACAAATTTTGGTTTCTCTAGCTCTTATAGTCCCTGAGATCTAGGCGCTCATCAAGACGGACTGCTGATCAAGAAGTTATATACTTTATGGGGTCGGAAACGTTTCCTTCTCTGCGTGGCACACATCTACTTTTACCACAAATCTAATATACCCCTTTATTCTTTTTGAGAACGGTTATATTGAGTTTATTTCAGCTATTTTTATGTCCCAGCACATCACAGAATATTTACCATATTATGTAAATTTAGGTTGCCATTTCACCATGATTAATATATGGGAGTATCCACGTATTCACATAATATATCATTTAAATATTGCGCTATCCGTTAACTAAAAGCTGAGCTTCTAAAATCGTCCAGCTTAGAGACGTGGACCGATTGTACAAGCAATGTTTTGCAGTGCAAAATATGTATGTATCTGCTTTAAGTAAATTAAACTAAAATTTAGAAGCAACCATTGTTTTTTAAAAATACACTCGCATGGCTTTCCAGGCGTTTGCTAAATGTTTAAATTTCTCGGCAGACTCGTGTAAGCTACATGTACATATGTAGGCATTTGACGCATATATATACATACATCTTA